AAGGTCTGTTTCTGACTGGACACCTTACTGAGGTCAGTTTCTGGTTGGTCTTTTTACTGAGCTAAGTTTCTGATTGGTCTTTTGAACTGAGCTCAGTTCAATGATTCCCTGACTGGAACATCAGGGATTAGATGGATGTTGTTTGTAGTTGTAGCAAGTTTGATAATTTGTAGTTCTAGTAAGGAATCTGTATCTCTCACTGTCTATAAATCTTTCTGATGTGTTGCTCTGTATCTTGGCTAGCCCTTGTCTTTTCACTCTCCATAACACTGCAATCAAAGCAATATTTCTTTTGTTTGCATCTTCTTACATATGCTTGTTTTTCTCCAGTCTTAGTAAGAACATTGTTTCTTTCAAGAAAAAAAAACAAAACCGTGGCCTATCTATGATCAAGTTACAATGACCTGATCCGTGTTTCTTTGCCAAGTTTATTATAAACTGAATTGCTCATATCTAGCACAAAATCCCTACACCAAAAAATTCGTAATACCTAGGTCCGATAATTTACATTCCGTGTAACGGAAATACTTTGTTAAAAATTGCAGGCAAGAAACCCCTCACACCCATTTAGATAAACATGATGTAACTTATCTGGTGTATAAATCAGAGTTTATAAATACAGAAGGTGTAAGAATACATAGACAGGCTGCTAGATTTCTGGTGGTGGGGTAATTCAAATGCAGCTGATGGTTCTTTTCAGGTGCCAAGTCTTGGAGAAGTGCGATATTATCTTTTCAGCCCCCCACAGGGGGCGATATACCACTTAATGTTTCACAGGCAGTGAGATTTATGTACAAGTTATATTGAACCAATAAAAAAAATGTCAGAAATATGTTTCTGATAAATGTGGTCTTTTTTCCCCAAGGGATTGAGGGTTCTAATATGTCAAAAAGAAAAAAAAAGGAAAATATTCATTGTGGCAATTATCCTATGATGAAATTTGTTGCATCTATTTTCAGATAATTATTTCTGAGAAATTTCTGCATTTTGGCAAATTTGTTGTATTTTTGCCTTTTTTTTTTTTTTTTAAAGAATGCTGGGGAAAAAATACAAAACTTGGTGCCCAGAATAATTTATTAACTCTGAAGGTCTTTAGCTCTCATGTGGTGATAAACTTTGCAGCATTAACCTTGAAAACTCATCTGGATTCTATTATGTAATACCGACTTTTGAGCCTTGAGGGTTTTTCTTTTGCTAATTTATCTTATCTATTAAAATTATGACAAAATTTAACATTTAATGAGATATAACCTTGATGCCCAAACTTAAAACAAATGCTCTAGAAGTTTCCATCAAGGCATTTGGGTAAAATTCTCGTAGCTGGACCATTAACAGGTGGAACAGTAAAAATTCTTGAACGCTTTTTCTAGCACATTTTGAATTTTGTTGTACACCTTGACAATAGACAGGAATAGGATTTTTTTGTGTGGTTTTATATTTTAATAGATATAAACAGAATGACAAAGTTACACAACCTGCATTGGCATATCAGAATATTATTCTCATGAATTCTGTTTTATGGTTAATTCTAATTTTAACTTAATGTTAATTTTAATATTTCAAAGGAAATGTTAAATAAATATAGTTTAATTATGCTGATATATAAAATTGATCATTTTGAAATTTGTAGTTTTTGTTTTGTTTTTTTTTAAAACCATATATAATCTTAGGAGTATATCTGTGAAAAGTTAATGTACAAAAGGAAGTTGTGTGAACAGGTAGATGTATTCATATAACAGGTAGATATGTAGACACAGAGCATGTGCTGAAGCACATGTATAGCCTGCTACTTATAACCGTTTTCTCCAGAAAACTGTTGAGAATTTTTAATGGCTAATCAGTGACAGATGTTAAAACATACAGTCTTGTTGAAATAGCTTGTTTCAGGGCCGAAGCTGCTACTCCATTGAGAGCGTTTCCTTCTAAACTTCACAGATTTTTCTCACACCTTGTAACAGTGTCTATAGGAATCTTACAAAGTTTAATTTGATTGGATGTTATTGAAAGTTTGAAATTTTTTTTTTCCATCAACTGTATGTCGAGTTTCCTTTGGATCGGATTTTTGTGGAAGCACATTTGTAGGAAGAATTGGATGATTTAAAAGCTGTTCTCCCTATGCAGTTCTAAATGGAACAACATCATTATTTTTTATCTTGTTCAATGGATAGAAATAGTTATTGTGTGGATTTTATGTTGTAGTTGGACGTTGATGAAATGTACATTTTTGGTGTGTATGAAGGAGTGCAAAATATATGAAGCAGAATTTGAAATGAAGGTGGATTTTAACAGAAGTTATCATTAACTCTTGCTTAGGAATAGTGGCAAATGGAATTTTGTAATTAATCAACATATCATAGCTTGAGAGGGTATCAAAATTTTTTTTTTTTTTTTTTTTTTTTTTTTTTTTGCTATTTATAAGCAGCCGATGTGGAAAAGAAGAAAATTAATTAATAATTTAGTTTCATGCCAAGAATCTTGTACAGAAGTGCTTTTTTATCCTTGAAGACATTGTATCACCTGAGCACCCAAGGAATTTTATAAGAAACTTTTTTTTTTGTAATTTTCAAGAATTTTCTTTAAAATAAAACATGAAACATAGAGACTTCATAAAGAAAAAGGTGAAATAATATTCTTTATACAACATCATCCAACAAAAGGAATCATTCAGTACTTGCAGTACTTTGATTGAAGGGGCAATAATAACAGCCCTTCTATGGTAGTCGGTAGAGTAAATAGATAACTTGTGATTTGTGAAGTTTGAAATTGAAATTTTTTGGGTGTGAAGTTGGCACAAACATTCAATCTGGATTCCAGAAGAGACTTTTACAGGCGGATGTATTGTACATACCCCTACCTTCCCCCACCCCTAGGGATGTACCTGCCCACCAAAGTGGCAGGGGTGTCGGTGAGTACACACGCACACAAACAGTCTTGATTTTCAAAATGTTTTGAAATTGGAATCAAGTAAAGAATTGATCATGAACATGCAGTTTTTCATATCTCCAGTGTACAAATTTGTGTGTCTAAGTAATAATTTATAGTTTACCAGCATTTGCTTCAAAAATTTATATTTTTCGTGATTGACTTGGAATACTGTTTTGCACATAACTTCAGTGTTGAAGATTGGAGGGTTCTTTTATCATCAATCTAAGTGATCTAGTTTATCTGTTCATTATGTTGAAAAATGATTGTTTATTTTATTCATTGGTATCTGAACTGCCTGCTCTCCCAAGTTACCCATAATTTGTATGATCTTTTACCCCCTGAATAATCTTGGCAATGTGGACAAAAAGGTAAAAAAAAAAAAAAAAAAACCTACTGATCACACTCATTTTGAGTACATACTTCTGAAGTTGTATTGGTATAGTGTTATTGATATTGATAAAAGTCTTTGTTCACTTTTATATTTAACTTTATCCAATTTTTATTTTAATTCTTGTTTACATTACTATAATTTATTAAAATTAAATCATTTTTTATTTAATAAACCGTAGGCTTTAGATCTGTTTCGTGGTTTCTAGACCCTTTATTCGTATTGGATTTCAAGTTTTAGCTTTTCCTCCATGTGAATCCAATTAACGGTGTGTAATAATCTGCTGAAATAGGTGTGAATTCGCCACTAAAAACTTGACTATTTCTGTTGATACAAATGCTCAGCATTATTTAGTGCCAACAGCTCAAAGCCTTTCTCAGCCTCCCCTGGGCCTGGAGTTTATTATTCACTTGCTCAAATTTTGATCCAATTTGAAAACTTCAAAGAATTGGGGGTTTGCTGCTTAGCGGAGAAGGTGAAAATCTTGGTAGATCACATGTGGTTTGGATTTTCTCTGGAAAGCTTGCTGTTGATTTTTTGGTAGTTTTCTTAATCAAGTTAATTAGAAGATACCAGGTGTTTTTACACCTTTTAGCATTTTGGGTTTTATGAATTTCTTGTCTGTCTAGCAGTACAAAGTTGAGGGTACAAATTCTTATAGAAAAGACTTTTTCCTAATGATTGTCAAATAATTTACTGAAGTGTAATTTTGATGCCCTCTCTCCCCCTTAAAAACTGGATTGCACTTGTATATAAAATTAATAATAGCCAGAGATAGACATTTCTGAAAAAGGAGAATGTACTAAGTGCATACAAGTTTTCTTTGTCCTTGCTTTTACCTTTTTTTCCTGAATAAATCTCGGCTAATTCACATAAAACTTGCAGTGTTTGACACAAATCACTTAAAAAAAAAAATCAGTATTTCCATTGAGGCTTATTGATTGGCATTTGACAAGGATCGAACCTGTACCAGGGTCTCTCTGTACTTGACAATTGCTTTCTCCATTGTCTCTCCAAACAAAACTTGCTCTGGAGTAGCCAATCCTCAATGTTAATGAACTGCAATATACCCATGTAGATAAGACTTGATTTCATGATAGTAAAAAATTGTGATCCAAAAATAAGGATATTTTTTTGAAGGTGGCTGAATGAGATCTGACATTTACATGTGTATTTGATAAGTGTAGATCTGTATTTATTTCCCTCCCAGGGTAAAAATAAAGGTAGGCTATGGTTATCCTGACCGAACCCTAGATAAAAATAAAAATGAAGGGTTCTTTGAGAATGATGAATGTTCAGAGCTCCTGATGAACTGATAAGGCAATCTATAGAATTGACAGACTGCTTGATTTTATAGGGAAACTCCAATTCTCATTGAATAATCCACCATGTTATTAACACTGTGTTTATGTAATAATGTTTTGAATGAGTTTTTTTTTTTTTGAAAGGTTAAAAATTATTTTTGGAATAATTAATAAATTGCTAGTCTTTAAACTCTGTATGGACAATGCTTATAGTTTAAATAAATTATAAATGGAACTTACAATCATCTGTGAGAGATTTTCCACAGATATTTTGATTTCAGATTAAAAGCTAACAGATGGATATATTTAGATGTGTTTACTATATAGTTGTGTCGTTGTATATGAAATCTGAAATACTCTGTTATAATTCTGTTCTATTATAGATGTATCCCTCTAGTCCAGAGGAGTACAATGATTCTGGAAATCGATATCACACATCACCCAACCCAATGTTCTCCAAGGACTCTTACTACATGCCAGGTAAATTAATGTGACATTAACCCCCCACCCCACCCAGCCCACCCACCCCAAACAAACAAACACACATCACCCAACCCAATGTTCTCCAAGGACTCTTACTACATGCCAGGTAAATAAATGTGACATTAACCCCCCACCCCACCCAGCCCACCCACCCCAAACAAACAAACACACATCACCCAACCCAATGTTCTCCAAGGACTCTTACTATATGCCAGGTAAATAAATGTGACCACCCAACCTAATGTTCTCCAAGGACTCCTACTACATGCCAGGTAAATGTGACATTATCATCCCCTCCCCATCTCCCCAACCCCTCAAACACAGAAAGAAACACACGTGTTATGTAACCCAGTATTATTTCCAAGGACTCTTACTACATGCCAGGTAAGTAAATGTGATGTTCAAACCCCCTTTCACCTCCTAAACCCCCCTTCCCCAAACAGAAGAAATCACTCACCGTAGTGTTCTCCAAAGACTCTTACATCGTGCCGGGAAAATAAATATTGACATTTAAATATCCACTACCACCACCACCCCCCCCCCCCCACTCACACACACAGACATGGAAATATGCTACACCACATGCCAGGTAACATTAAGCATGATATTCAGCCCCCCCCCCCCCCCCCCCCCCCAAAAAAAAAAAAAAAAAAAAAAAACATCACCCAACCAAATGTTCTGAATTTCCAAGACTTCTACTACTGTACCCACTATTTATGTCATAGTCAACACCCCTCCTCCCCCCTACCCAACCCCACAGTGACACTAATGATAAAAAGAAATTCTGATGAAACTTTTTGATAGAGGTCTTTCAACAAGCCAAAGGATCAGACATAAGCTATTAAAATAAGTTCTTAATGTTCTTTTTGTTTTCTTTAAAACATCTGCTTTAGAGAGTGAAAAATTCTCAATCTTTTTGATGAGGTCTAAAATAATTTTGTCACATCTCTAACTCAACAACACAATTTTTTGAAGAACATTCTGGTATATTGTATAATTACAAAAGGGTTTTTGGAGTGGGTGCTCTTTTTGACAAAAGTCCCTCATCGAACAAATTTGGGCCTTTCTTAACTACTAGTTATTTGTCAGTCTGCACCAATATAACTGGGCAAATTTAGATTCAGACTTCATTAAATATTGAATTTTATATCTGTACATTTCTTTTAAATTATGTGACAATATTGGATTACTTTATACATGTACCTTTTGATGCAGTGTCAATCTGAATAATAATGTAGTGTATGTAAAATTTTATTATGATCATGCTGAATAATTGTCACCGGTCGGGTAACTTAAGTTTGATTTATGAATTTGATGGGTTATTTATTAATGAGTTTGGTGTAATTTTATTGTTTCAAGTGGGAGTAAAAGGCATCAAAAGTGCAGTGTATATAATTATCATTGTCATAAATTCTTTCATGGAAAAATGTTTCTGGAATACATTACATTCAGTATGGATTATTATAGGTTATTTATGTCAGAAATAAGTACATGCAGTCTTGCAGATGTCACTTTGTCAAGGAAAGAACAAGGGTCACTTGCAGCCTTTTTTTTGGCCCTGTGAATTTTTAAAAAAAAATCAAAACTGCTCTGGTTTAGTTGATAATGCATTAAATTTTTACTTGGACCTTTGTTAACTGCATTCTTTTGAAAATTTTTCTTGCTAGTCAATGCATCATGATGACATGAAATTGCCCATATCCTGAAATTTCTTTTAAAAAAAAAATGGCCAAATCTTTAAGCTGCTTTCATTGTTTTATATACAGCACAACATCTGATCCAAAATATTCAATTTTATAAGGAGAGACTTGTTTCTGAAGATTGTAAAACATGCTGTATTTGTAGGATCGAGGGATGTTTTCAAAATAATTTTTCTTGGTTGGTGTGTCTGTCTGTATTAAGTATACAGTGAATCATAGTTATCTGGAAACTTCATGGGGCTGAGAAAAAAACTTTTTGAGATATACATACAGAAAAATTGGTTGGGACTTCCATTTCGCTTTGACATATATCCAGGGTATTAAAGCTATCAGTTTTAGAGATTTGGAAGATTAAATGGTTTTTTTGATGTTATGATTGGATTTTACTGTAATTTCCAGCTTTTACCCTTGTTTTTTTTTTTCTGTAGATGGACCTGGTCAGAACACACCTGACCCATGGTCAGCCAGTAATGGACTTCCTCCTTCTTCCACATATCCTTCAATGTTGCCAGGCAACAGTCATCATTCTCAAGCATATCCCAACATGCATCACCCTCACGACATGGTAAGATCCTCTCCCGCAGCCGGGGGTTCAGAGATGCGTCACTCTCCCGGCGTGATGGTCGCCCAGTGGCTGGGGAACAGCCCGTCTTCTTCCACGTCCTCCAGGATCCCCCCACAACAGGTTGGTACTGCAGTGCGTAGCAATGTACTCTGTCATTATCACATTCTGCATAGTCATACCACATATCTCTAAGGTTTGGATTCTGAGGTGATATGCAGTGTGCAAAAATCTGCCCAGTTAGCTTGCCTTAGGCTAGCAACATAGCAGCTGACAGCTTTTTAAGACATTTTGTTGTAATACAGTGTTAATGCAAAAGATCTGGAATTAGGGTAACTAAGGTTTTAAACAAATGGCATACGCTAAATGATGGAATCATGTATTCATAGGTGGGGTCTTTACCTCTTACCATAGGCATAGGTAGATTGAATTTTTGAATAATATGGAGGTAAAGAAATTTAGGACCAAATTTTGTAGGAAATAAAGGGAAGTTTTGAAACCTTAGCCTTCAGTGTAATAGGTATTATTTTGGTTTTCAAATTATTTTGTTGATATAAAGATGAATCAGTTAGTATTGCTAGGTTTCATGTGGGGAAATTTAATTTAGCTTGGGCTTTCTTAATGCTAGTAATTTTTCAATATTTAATTTTTTGGCTGTCTAATGTGAAGTTTAAAAATACAAAAGAGACAGTGTTCAGTTATTGTAAACAACAAAATACTAGCACATTTAAAGAATAAAATACAATCATTGTTCATGCCAAGTATTTATTTTTTACTGCCTTTTTGCATCATGCTCACTGCCGCTGTATCAAACACGAGTAACCATGCTTATTTTTTAAGGATCCTGCCTTTAGCACTAAAGTTAATTAGTTATCTGAAGGAAATACTGTAATTAACTGATTTGGAATAACATTTTTCACAGTTTAATTAACTTTTTTGTACTTTATGATTTTAATTAACAGTGTTTCAGTGATATAGAGCCAGTTTTTACTTGAAACTAATCAAAATTAATATCATAACGTACTGTGTATGTACATGGAGAGCTTTCTGAAGGAATTAAAAATTACCTAAAATAAAATCAGATAATGAAATATGAAACTTTAAGGTGTTGAATGGGATATATTTAAATAAAGATAAGAGGAGGTTGAGAAATTTTTTATTATAATCGGACGGTCATATGAAATTGTAAATATTGCTGCACTTTGTCTTACATCAGCCGTAATCAACAACCCTTGCTGTATACATTAACTAGTTGATTGAAATAAGGGAAATTTTAAGGATTATTTTCTTATACCATGTCATAGGACCCCTGTATGTAATTTATAAATTTTTTGTATGCTCATACACTAAGTTACATTTGTTTATGGCAGTTCATATTTGTTTGAAGTGGAATCTTTTATGTAGACTGTCAATTCATGAAAGTGATAAAACTATCAACGAAAACAACCAATGGGAAATTCTTGTTCTGTGTAATTGAATAATGTTATGATGATTGTATTGGGATTTCCGGATTCAAAAGTGCTACTTTTATGAGAATATAGAATATATATCTGATATAAAACCTAGCAAGTATTCTTTACCTAGAAAAGAAAATTGCGTCGATAGAAACTGAGAGTTTTTGACAGTCATTGCTATGCATTGCTTTACCAAACTTTGTCCTATCCTCTTGATGGTGACCTATATATTTATTTTGAGCTTTCTTTTGGAATTCTTGATAAAGAATTACCAGAATTTTATGCAAAGCTAGTCGTCTTTAGTATTCAAACAGTTACTTGAAATTTTTTTTATCAGATTTGGAAGTACATTAATTTTGTGTATAATTATAGATAAATATTTCAGAGAAAAAAATTAAGATGGCAAAGCATGTTTTGATTGCAAATGAATCTAAGCTGGAAATATGAATATAAAATTTGAAATGTACCACTTGTATTAAATTTTGATTTCAGAGTCTATAAACTGAGAACAACTTTTGAAATAATTGTGATAACCGAGCAAAATTTTTATCATTTGTTTTTTTTATTTGAATTTTATACATGATAAAAAACTGCAACTTCTGAAACACAAAAAACATTTTATAATAAAAATCAACAATAAAAAATTTTGACTGAAGTCTGTTCTCAGTTTATGGTGTTCAGGCTTCAATTAGATTGCATAAAGTGATTAATGTAACTCTAAAAATTTAATTGGGATATGATAAATGTGATCTGTGCTACAAAAATAAATTTAATTGGGAGATTTGTGGCCTTGTCAGTGATTTCTGGTTTCCGCTTGAGTGAATCTGACAGGGGCATGCTGGGAAGGGTCATTTATTTCCATTGACATGTAGCATCCTGTTGCCATGGTTATGAAGAGGCTGGTTACTCACTGTGTACAATTTTTATCCAAAGCCCCAAAACCAGATGGCAGATAATTCCCGTAATTTTATGTTCTGTGTAGGAAGATCCAAATAAAAAATTCACCTTTCAAACTTTTAAATTTTTTTTTAGGCAATAATTGTTGCAGACTAGTAATACATGATAAGTCTTTTTTTTTTTAACTGACGTCTTTGAAAATATATTTCAAATGAATATGATGTCCTTGAGAAATCTCTGAAATCTTGATGAATCTGTGCAAGACTCCTTAATTGAAAGCAAAATAAAGCTGGTAGTAAAATAAAAATGGTTCCTATGGCAACATTAAATTCTAAATGTGACCCTCCAGGCAGAAAAATTTCAGTGTTTATTTTCTTTGGCAAATTCCCAGTTCTGTGATCAAAAGGGGAATCTTAATGGATTAAAAACCAAATTTATGAAACAATAATTTTGTTAGGGTAAGGCCAGGTAAAATTAATCTTTAGATTCTCATCCCCGCCCGCCCCTCTCAAAGTGCCCCGCCCCGTTGTTTTTTATTTTGCTTTTTGAGTGTCAAACGTATTATTTTCATTTATTTTTATTCAGCAAGAATCTGGGTCAAAATTTAAGAGTTATCTCCCGTCTGTATTAAAAGTCACGTGGCGCTATTTATAGCAAAAAAAACTATGTGAAGAATGGAGAGAAATCAGCAATAAAAGCAGTTTAAATATGTAAGGTAAACATAATTTGTCAGTATAGAGAAGGCAGAAAAGCAAAAATAACATAAACACATCTAGTACTGATCTAGATACCATCACTGGCATGAACAAGTTTTTAATGAGATTTTAACGAAGTAAAAACAGGCGAAGAAAATGACACATGGTCAACCGATCTCCAGTTATCATGGTTATATGTGATTTTGCATTAAAAAAAAAAATAAACATCATCCAAAGACTTTAGAGAATAATAGTGCTAAGGAAATGTATAAAACCTTAAAACTGTTCAGGCCTAGGCTTTTCAGTAGAATATTTTACAGATTTACACAATCCTGTTTTGCAAATATGATACATTTTTATGTCGAACATGTCAAGTCTCAAGAACGATTGAATTTAGGAGGACAGTGGAAATCTGTGATATATCACACAGAACAGAAGGAGTTGTTGGTAAGACTATAAGGTATTTGGGGAAAGGCCGATGAGAAAACATGCATATGCAATTTATTAGGATCAGCACCTCATTTTATTTGGCGTGTGCCGTATCTGTGTACTAGATAATTTGTTAATAAAACTATAAATATTTTAATTTTCTATAGCAAGAATCTTCAGTCTGTAGATATTTAAAAGAATATGAAAACAATAAAATCTATTCATATTGTCATTAACATGGTATAAAAATTATGAGTACGAATGTTTTGTTGATACTTTCAACTATAAAAAATAAAAAATAAAATCCGCCCACCCGCCCCAATTTTTAAGCAAATTAGGATGAGAATCTAAATTTTAAATTTATGTGGCCTAAAATCTGTAATTTAAAGTCCCTGCATGTTTTAGAGCCTGTGAAGCTTGGAAAAGCATTTTGTACACAATCAGTTTGTGCTCTTTCCTTCCATAATTTTTATGTCTGTTGAGTGAACTATATTTGGTTTATAAGCAAGAGGAAAAAAATACAGAAGTATCTCAGTTTGACAATCTATGAAGGCTCAGAAAACCATTGTAACTACTAATGACCCTCTCAGGATAATAAAAAAAATAGTTCCTATCCATATGCAAGGACAATCCTGATCATATAATTTCCAGAATTCTCTAGCTTGAGTATTTGTAGATTCTAATGACTGTTTTAAAGGTTACCCCATGTACCCTCTACTCATTGTAATTTTAATTATTCTCTCTCCCAAAGTTTTGTTCCCTTTCTTCACAACTATAGATTCTGGGTTCTTTTACATGGTAACCCCACTGTACACCCCCTAATAGCTATTTTTAGATTTTATTACCTTTTTTCAGAGTATCCCACTGTCCCCTCCTCAAATGTATTTATAGATTTTATGTCCTTTTTCAGGGTTACCCCACTGTACCCCCTAATAGCTATTTTTTAGATTTTAATTCATTTTACAGAGTACCCCGCTGTCCCCTCCTCAAATATATTTATAGATTTTATATCCTTTTTCAGGGTTACCCCACCGTTCCCCCCTCACAGCAGGATAACCTGGGTCTACCACCCATGTCAACATTCCGGCCAGGCACCACCATCCCGACCACCACATACTCCTCACCCTCACCAACCGTCAATGGCGGCGCCCAGGGGTCTCAGACGGGGGACGCCATCAACAAAGCTCTCGCATCTGTAAGTATGGGGTCCCAAACAGGGAATGCCAATAGTAGAGCTCTCGCGTCTATTAGTATGGGGTATTTACCATACACTTATATCAACTGGACTCGATAAAATTTAAGTCATAGCTTTGTAACGAGATGACAGTTTTTCAGGAATAAAAGGAATTGTTGCATTTTTCAGTCATTGTGAGGTAAAAATTATTCAATATCAAGACTTGCTGAATTAATCAATCATAATGAGAAAAAATATTCAAAATTTTATAGATCTATTTGAAAAATTGTTGTCATGATTTGCATGCTATATTGATTTTTTTGTTTTGCTGTTCACAATGTAACCTGCTGATTTTTTTTTCAGATATATTCGCCAACAGATCATACAAATAGTAGCTATGGTTCAAATCCCTCCACCCCAGTATCATCACCACCCCCAGGTAAGCTGTTAGATCCACCCCACTGGATCATAGTAGGTATAAAGGGTGGTAAAAAAAACATTTTTTCTGCCACCCTATGACCCTTATCTGCACCAAATTTACACTTTCTTGAAAACATGATTGAAAAATTACTCACTGGAAAATGTAAGAATAATGATAAATATAGGATCTCCCATGGTTTGTGGCTGGATATGATTTTTTGTCCGACAAGTTGCGTGTTATTATTCCCGAGCTTTGGCAAGGGGATAAAAACATGAGTGATGAAAAAAAAAAACCCTATAACTAACTACAAACCATGAGAGATCATTTTTCCCATGTTTTACACAGTTTTATATAAGTAAATCCACAATATTTGACCTGATCAAATTCACACAATAATCATTGAGACATCGCTACCGTGGATATGAAGACGTTATCCTATGAGCTATATCCACTCTACATAGGGAGTAAGCGTGATGAAATGCAATAAGACATTTAAAATGATTTTTTAATATAAAGAAAGATGACTGTTTATATATATTTGCATGTTTATGTGTTGTAGGATCATCAAGCCAGTGGCAGAGGCCAACTACACAATCTTCTACCTCGCCCCACTTTGAAGGGGGGAACCCCCTCCATTCTCTGGTAAGTTCCCAGCATGCACCTTGGGTCATGGCATGTCCCTTGCACATTTACAGATATGGGTGTATGTGTATCTGTTGATATCCTTTGCCTTATCTGGAGGGGTTTTGTCACACCATGAATTTGGTGTTTACAATGTTCCTTCAGGTCAGGCACAGATGTTAATTCAATTCCTTTCCCAGCTTGAACAATTTTTCTTTAATAGAGAAATACATTTTTCATCTGTGCTCCTCATGTGTATAACAAATCTATCATTCATGTCTGCTGAAATATTTTCATCTTTGCAACATTGAAATCATTTATTGTAGTAGTAATGTAATAAGTCAATCTCTGCCATTTGATTTACTGCATGTTTTTCTCTTAACTAAAAATCAACAAGCAAATTACAAAATCAGGGAATTACATGCCATTGCCAGACTTATAGCCATAAAAATTTGGGGGGGGGGGGGGGGGTTCCTTGACCGAGTGAGTGATACACTCTACTGATTAAACACTTAGTTGAACCCCAAACATTTCATCTGTCTATTAGTGCCTGTTAGTTTGTTATCCTGAGTTCCCATTAACTGAAATCATCACAAATCATTGTCATTCACTTTCTAGATTCAGGGAGAAGAAAACGCTAACATACTGTAAATTGCTTTTTTATTCAAGAGAATTCTCATTTTCGCTAAAATTACACAAGACTGTTTGCTCTAAGAAATTTATTCTCGCATACATTTGTATTATTAGAAGACTAAATACAACAATCACCAAAATGAGTGAAAACTTTGTCCTGCTTGTGAATAACAAATGGCTATCAGGTGAAAATAAGATGAAAATTTGGTGATCTACTGTACCTTTAGCTTCTATTTCTTTCAGTTCATGTAACTGTTGTGCATTAAATCACTTACTGTTACATGGACATAGCAAATGATCATTTTCATTCCATGATTTCTATCCTTGTTAGTGCTGGGCTGGAAGAATGAGGGATTTTAGAAATTCATTAGTAAATTTTCTAAACAACTGCCTATCTTTTTAAAATTGCATTTTTTATGCACTCGAGATAGTTTTTAAATAAATTGTTGCTGAAAAGGTCAGCTTCTTTTCAGAATGTTCAGGAAAAAAAGATTCAACATAGCTAATCTTGAACATATTTGAAAGTCATGTGTATATATGTCAGTGTTGATGGTCAAAGATTGGGTGGATAAGGGGGAAGGGGGTTTGTACACTGGACATTTCCTAGTTGGTACACAGAACTTGGCCACATTCAGGGTAAATATAAATGTTGGAAAACTCAAATGAATTTTGTCTAACAGCACCACCACAGATTTGCAATTTTTCAGCAGTTGTCTTGCACTGAAGAGGAGACAACTGGTAAAAATAGGGAGAATAATTTACCTTTCATGTATACCACACATCGGAAAATTTCATCTTGTTCAACTCTGTAAAAATAAACTATAAATTAGTTTTGTGTTGAAAAAGAGCAATTTTTCTGGTTTTTAGTTTGGGGTCAATAAAATGTAAGTCAATCTAGAAATAATGATAAAGTTAATTAGTGTAAAAAAAAAAAACTATGTGTACAAGGATTGCCTATTAATTATGGAGGTGGAAGTTAAAATTACCATCAAACTCTCGTTTAGGTACAAATATAGAGACTTTGTACTTTAAGTATTCAAAAGCTAGGCAGAATGTTAGAAATATTCTTGCACGAGGGTCAATCATTAATCATTAATAGGGTGAGTTGTAGCCTACATATGGAGCTTTTGAAATGAATAAAGTACAGAAAGGTTCTGTATAAGTGGGACATAAGGGTCCACCAGTATTATTCAAACTAGGGCTACTCTAGTAAAATTTTAATGAGGTGGGTTGAACACCACTGATTTTATAGATTTTTAGACCCCCCCCCCCTTTCCCTTTCCACTATAGAAAAGAATTGGTAAAATCAACACCACCAAGAGAATTCATTTTTTTTTTATTGAAACAAAAACCCACACAACCAGCTTGTTCTTTTAGCTTTTTAAATTGTAACATTTCAACATTTTGAAATAAAGGCAGTAGGAATGAATTATAACTGAAGGGTCTAATTAGTTCTTCTCTCTTTTTCCATATTTCTCATTTACCACTATTGATCTCTGTGTTGTTATGGTGACTTTTGCATGTGACTAACTGCACTTTTTGAATTAACCAATCACAGCCCAGCAGAATGGAAGAGAGGCTGGACGATGCTATTCACGTTCTGCGTGAGCATGTTGTGACCGAGGTAGGGGGTTTCACGGTTTTCATTTTCCCCTAACAATTAATCTTCATTATGCAGAGGCTTTTTAACACCTTTGTTGTGCATTTTAAAAAAAACGCTTTGCTAATTTGGTATCATTTTGTGAGAACTTTGCGTCTTCATTTTTTGCATGAAGGAAATTTGGAAATCTTTAATTTTTATTCCAGTTTATGCAAAAAAAAGAAAAAAAATCAAAAAACAACTATACATGTATGCTTCACCACAAAAGACTTATTTTATTCAACATAGTTCACGTATACCCTGGGAAATGCACTTTGAGTAGTAACATTATTAAAAATGACAACTAAACACCACTTCTTCCCTCCCTCCCCTCTTTCAAAGAAAAATGCAATTTGAAGTTTGATAAAGAACTACCAAACCATAAAGATCCAATTATTAACTGAGATTTGAGACCAATATTTCTCTATTATCATGCCATCATTAAAAGTCAAAATATTTAGGTCATGTTTCTAAAAGGTCATAAATATGAAAAAATCATATATCATTGAATTCATATTTATCATTTTTGTCTTTGGAATCTAATTTGCATAATGGATTCTGATGGTTTTATTGCTCTCATCACTTAATCATTTTCAAATTGGAATTCCTAAACATGTACATAAACATCATTATTGTATATAATATCCATCAATAAAACATCAATATTGTTATATTAAGTCAATTTCAAAGTTTGTCCTTGAACCAAAGTAAATTCGAGGAATTGATATACCTGTATATGTAACAGGGGAAATTTTCATATTTTTACATTTTGAAATATACTTGGTTCACCTTAGCTGAAAGTTTGGTTCTTGAATCAGAATGAATTCTCAGAATTGGTATATTTATAACAAGGCGTGTACACCATGCATGTTTGGAATACATTCTTTGTACTGAAAATGTAAATAAACCTAACATCTCTTGAAATATTTCCAAACTGAATCGCAGTCCTTTGAGCTAGTTTACGATGAAGATATTACCTTTTTCTATATCTGTTTTCTGGGTTGACAAATGACGCGCCTTATTTCCAAAAGCAGCCAGGGATAAAGACAATTCTTTGTCTAAATGTATATATGTCAGCCATTATGTAAATGTATTAAATTTATCGCAGAACTTTAAGGCTACTGAGTAGATGGAAAAAAACTTCTGGGAAAATTTTGAATGACAGATTTGTAAAAAAGAAGCACTTATGAGTTCCGTATCACTCTATATTCGACACAGTAAATTGACTTCGGGTTGCAATTATATTTTTGGATGGGATGGAACTTGTTAATTTTTTTAGTGTGTGTAATTAAAAGTCAGACAGGTGCTATAGAATTACAGAATTGTCTCCAAGTAGTCCTGAAAATAGACATTTTACCAAAAACAATTCAAAGAATACATCAATCATTTTATTGTGAAATAGAATGCTTATTTTAGATATGGTCATTTAATGTTTTATATTTTTCAATTTCCTGAAGAAAAAAAGCTTTTCCCCTTAAAGTAACAAATTATTCTAAATGAGATATGAACCACAGTCTTTTTGGGACTTGAACATTTCCCCATGCTTTCCGCAATCTTGCCACTTTTCAATATTATATAATTTTTGTTCAATGCTGGCATAGGAAATAGGAGATATATATGTATAAACAACTTCTGAAAAAAAGACCACAATTGGGTAAATAAAATAAAGAATCAACAATATTCAACCATTGAATTTTACTGAAGGGAAATTATTTTTTTCATCACTAAAATTTCTTGACATTATTAATTCTTTTTAATATGCATGTGTTTCTGATATTTTAATGTGATTTTTTTTTATTTCAGCAAAGTCGTATGGAGGAAAGACTGGATGACGCCATACACGTTTTACGGCACCACGCTGGGGAACCACAGATGGCGGGTCTGGCTGCTGCTGCTGCGGCTGCCGCAGCAGGTGGTGGTCACCAAAATCTGTCCATGATGCACTCTGGTGGCAGCCATCCTAATGGAATGAGTGGAATGTCCAGTTACACAGGAATCGGGTTGTCTGGTCATGTGGACCAAATGGTAAGTAAATAGTACACAAGTCTTGTACACTTGTAGAAGTGAGGGGCAGTCTAGAAGATAGGACATGGGTCATGTAGAATTTTCTAAGCTCTTGAGAGGAGCAGTAGGACATGGGTCATGTAGAATGTTTTAAGCTCTTGTGAGGAGCAATAGGACATGGGTCTTGTAGAATGTTTTAAGCTCTTGTGAGGAGCAGTTGAGAAGATAGGACATGGGTCTTGTGAATGTTTTAAGCTCTTGTGAGGAGCAGTTGAGAAGATAGGACATGGGTCTTGTAGAATGTTTTAAGCTCTTGTGAGGAGCAGTTGAGGAAATAGGACATGGATCATGTAGAAATTCCTAAGCTCTTGTAAGGAGCAATAGAAGATGTAGAATTTTTTAAGCACTTTTGAGGAACAATCAAGGATATAGAGTATGAGTTTTGTGGAAATTTTTATGTTTATGTGTGTGTGTTGAGAGAACATTCTTAGGATGTGGTATAAAAAACCATTCCTAGTCACAAATTTGGCTTTACATATTTTTGATAATAGCCTCTCTTGATTCTCTGAGTTTAAAAAAAAAAATAGATTTCATACCTAGAAGGCCTTATATCATGTACAAGAAAAAAGCTCTTTGTTGGATTTTGTTTCATTTGAAGTTTTCTTTTTTTTTCAAGGATTTGACAGTTTGTGGTTTGTTAATGTGATATTAGGGTTTGACAGTGTTTAGCAAAAGTATGGAGATAAGGGAAAAAAGTTTGTGGTTGATAATCATTAAGATTTTAAAGAGGGTTTGATGAAGTTTAAAAATTACTTCTGGTGAAAAGATTAATTTATTCTTTTGTTAATAATATTGTAAATTTGCTGATTTATGAATAACCTTTACGCTATTGAATCAACTTCCTATGTTGAAGGAAAATATAAAAATTCTGGTGGAACAGTTTGATTATTTTTTACCTTTTCATCATCATTTTGTTTTGATTAGCAAAAAAGAATTACCAATATATATCGAACATTTATTTTTCAAAGAAGCTTGGAACAAAAAAAAATTCATTCAGTGCAAATTAATGGTTAAAAATTTTTTGATATAATGTTCACATTGAGAAATGCTGCATTAGATTTGAATGCTGTCCTTTTTTTCTCTCCAACGACTAGACATTCTCTGTGATGAAAGAAGATATACTTTTAAATTTATTGCTCACCATATGTAAATGAATCTTTGCTCAGGCCTTTTTTCCCTTCAAGTGAAAAACTGATTCTTTGTGCAAATAATTACAGAAATTATTAATAGCTGGACTTAATTAGAACTGTATCCTGTTTAAGGATCTTTACATGTCAAAAGTTTTAAGAATTTGCATCTAAGTTGACTAAATGTCATCATAGGGAACCAAAATCATATAAAGCATTCTGCATCAACTCTAACTTTGGAATCTAAACCATGTTACTGAAAAATGTCAGGCGCCATAATGACAACAGAAAATGTCTGGTGACCCTCTTTGATCCAAGATTGATGCCTCATTAATCATTCCATCTAATTATACCACCCCCAACTCTTCACGGTTATTTAGCAGTCTCAGAAGCATGTGAGTACATGGTGACAATAGCAATATGGAGGAAATGGTTCTTTTTTTTTTCTTTATGTTCTGTGACCTTGATTCTCGACTCCTGATTTGATTTGAATTTTAATTAATATTGGTAATCCATCATTTGTGCTGCATGTTTGGTGTATATAGGCTGGTAGCAAACTCTAAGGCACCAGTTTCCTTAAGGGAGAGAAACATACAAGTGGAATTGAATTGCAGAATTTTTCAGTAATAATGTTGAAGGAAAATCTCTTTAGCATTTCCTCATACAGTAAGCCTGGAGCTCTGAAGAGAGTTTGGCCATTTGTAAGTTTTGATTTACATTTTCTGCTTTCATAATTTACTGTTAATGTTTTCTAAGGTGCATACATTTAATATTATATTTAGGATTGGACAGAAAGTTTGTTTATTTTATTTCAATTCTTGTTCCACTTGCGGAAGGTTATATGGTTAAGACATTTTTTTTTTTTACCTCCATGTATGAAAGAGTAATTGTGTAGATCTGCCAAACAATTTACTCTTGCTGGGAAAGAATGCAGTATATATTGTGGAGTAAATGTATCTTTGCATTACAAGTTTTAAGAATGCATTCAACAGATAAACAAGAAATGGTTATGTCATCATCTGTGAGGTACAACACATGCTACTATGCTTTTCTTACCTCCATTTCTGGAGAGCTTATCAGTAGAGGTGTGTTTCTGCTACATGTGTTATTCTGAAATGTTGGGCACGTTTTCTGATGGAGGGAAGTTTTTAGTTCTAAATAATGAAACAGGAGAGCAAGTCGAGCATGAAGAGTTTTGGGATGATAAAAAGGGTAATGTCAAAGTTTTCTCCAGATGCTGAGTTTGCTGGAGATTGGCTGTTTTTCACATCTTTCAAGATGTGTACAAATGGAGGAAAAATCACTATCTGAAAACAAGATTTATAACTTCAAGAAATGAGATTAATGTATTTAAAAAAAAAAATGAACCAGAGCTGTTATTCATAGATAGATGTCAGATATTCATGAACTGAAAATGTTTGGGTTCTTAACATGAAGATAATGTTTTTATGAATTTTTAGATTTTATATCTTTCATGTAGTTAAAAAAAGTTAACTGTTTGCCACACTTTTCAGCAGTGTTGGAGGTATATGTGGAAAATGAATTTTTAGGTTTTGTGTTTCTGATTTTCAGGGGAGTCACCACAACATGTCAGACAATTCAGAGCCCAAGAATTTAGATGGTGAGTGTTAAACATTTTGTTCAAGATTCATCTGCTAATCGCAAGTTCAGTTTTGATTTACCGAGCAAAGATTTAAAATTATATCTAAATCTTCCCAAATGATTAATTTTTGCATGATATTTGACGTTTATGAAGAATTGACTAAAAAGTAAAAGCTTGGGATAAATGAAAAAAGTAAACATGCAGTGGAATTTCCTCAATCCGGATGATAGTAATTCTACCATTTCATTTTCTGGACAAAATTTGTAGAGAACAGAAATAACATTTCTATATTTCAATTAAAAAGTATTCTGAGTAATCTGGACACTTCATTAACCTTGACAATTTGCTTAGGAACACAAACATTTGGATTAACCAGACTTTCTGTACATTGTAAAAAGAAAGGGAGGTAATCACTGTCTATTTTTTCCTTGCAGGTGCTTCCTCTGAGAAAAGTAACTTAACTCTGAAGGAGGAGAAATTGGACAAAATTGATGGGGACTCAAACAAGGGGGACAGTTCTGGGGAGGGATCAAAGAGCAATGTGACCTCCCCAGGAGGAAGCAATGGTCCTCCCAGCAAGAGGTCACGGTAAGTACTGGGGGCAGGGTATCTTAAATCTGGTAGATGAAAGTGAAAAAGATATAAATTTATAATTTGAACCCTCTATTGACTGCATATTTTTTTGTTGTTATTTATAAGAAAGAATATTTATTTAAAACCTTATAAAATGCATGTGTCTGAACTTTCTGTAACTTTCAAGATTTATTTTTAAAAAAAAATCATATTTGAATATTGAACAAGAATGATTTCCAATGAGTGATTGGTTTGAAGTGCTATGATATGATGTGTAAAATGCCCATGTGTTGTTACAGAAGAAGTGAACCCAACGATGAAGATGAATCCCCAGAGACCAAGGCGGAGCGGGAAAAAGTTCGCCGTCAAGCCAACAATGCCAGAGAAAGGTACGATCATATACTAATTTACAAAAAAAAAAATACCTAACTCGGGAAACTGTTTTAAGTATGGCAAAAATATTTAAAATCTTTTTACAGTAACTTAAAATTTGCCGAGAAATTTTATATAGAGGGAATATTGAACTTGTTTATTTAATGTTTTTTCTTCTGTGAGGGATTTAGTTACTTTTCTTGGTAAACTTAATGTATTTAACTTCGTGTGGCTGTACATTTCTGCATGGGGATAAATTTTTTAAACAATAAAGAAATTTCTGATAACATGATGGAAGGCCATAGTGTAAGATATTTTTACTGTGTATGTACATTGATGAGCTGTTGGACTTTGAGGGCTAAAACTTTGACAAAAAAGGAATTAGAACCACACATTTTGAGGGGATGTTAATGACCCACATATACATATATATATATATATATAGATCTTGAGCCCCTATTTCTAAATAAAGAGCTTACAAGAGCCTATTGTACCTGTGCACTTTGTCCCTGTAGAGTTCGTGTACGTGACATAAATGAAGCTTTCAAAGAACTGGGTCAGATGGTGGCGCTACAGTCGGGGTCTACCCAGCCCCTTACCAAGGTGATGATACTACAGCACGCTGTTCATGTCATATCCTCCTTAGAACAGCAGGTCAGAGGTGAGGAGGTCACAGGTCACCTGGCAACCTCAAGGTCAACATTCACCAAGCACAAGACAATGTTCTTAGATAACACACCAAGGGCTAAAACAACATTTGGACAAGTGCTCTAGTCTTATTTTGGAAATTCTGGCAAATTCGTAGAAATTTGTAACAAGAACTAGTCAATTAAGTGAAAGAAAAATATGTAAAAATTTAAAAACATGATTTTAGAAACACTTGGTGAAAGTTAGTTAAGGATGAGGGTTTTGGAAAATGGTGAATGTGTAACATTTGGGAGACCCAGGGTTGAAAGGTTAAGTTAAAGGTGAAATTGACAAGATTTTCTGATTTTCAGGATCCGTGTTCATGACATAAACGAAGCCTTCAAAGAGCTTGGTGAAATGGTGTCCCTCCAATCAGGGTCTAATCAGCCCTTAACCAAGCTAATGATTCTTCAGCATGCAGTAAACATTATAACGAACCTGGAGCAGCAAGTGAGAGGTCGGTACTTGCGCCCCTTACATTCACACTGGATTTTATTTCAGGGTCAAGGACACTTGGACAAGGGGATGATGGGAAAACCAGTCAGCAATGCAGAGTTACTTCCCTTTGTTTTGAAAGTAAAACCCCTCATTCACAGGCCTTTGATAAAATGTTTTGTAAAAAAGCTGGGGGTAAAAGTAAAATAGAGGGATAGATTATTTCACAACTTTTTTCTGTGCATTGCACCTGTTTTCCCATTTTCCCAATGACAAGAAGAATTGGGGGAGATAGGAGAGAGAGACTTAGCTGGTTATCAAGGGTAGATAACTCTGTACAAAAGATTGCATCAGTGACGTAGACATAATGTTAGGCAGTAGGTTGATGTCTCCTGTGTTACGGTTTTTGCAGGATTCGGGTGAGAGATATAAATGACGCGTTCAAAGAACTGGGACAGATGGTGGCATTGCATTCTGGGACCAGTCAACCGTTAACCAAGCTGATGATCTTGCAACACGCCGTAAATGTAATTACCTCCCTTGAGCACCAAGTGAGAGGTTGGTGTCGCAGACATATTACATAAGTACATTACATATAACATGTCATCTCTCTGCTTTGTATCAGTTGTAATAGATAATGCTCCATATGCATTTCATTCACAAAGGCCAGATAGTATACATATGCATCATGCACCAGTTTTTCATTGGAAAATGTGTTCTGGATGAACAATGTTGGATTAGAGGGACTTTGTTTGTGTAGTTGTTGAATCTATTTTTAGTGGTGATTAATCTTTGTCTTGAGTGTGGCTGCTTCACAATCAATAACCAGTACAGAGCACTGTATTAACCCTACATGTTCCTGCTTTGAATTTTATACAATTTATGTTCCTGCATATACAAAACTGTTGTACATCAACGACGTGGTAGTTTGGCCGGGTGCTTAAAAGGGAGGTGAAGGGTGAGAAGGGGTGTACAAGAGAGATAAGGGGGGAGGGGTGTAGCAGTAGGGGAGTTGCTGCCCCTGTTGAGATAAGGGAGTTACTGTCCTTGATGCCATGCTTTCTCTCATGTGTCCTTGACAAGTTTTATTTTGTATTTCAGAAATGAGGATGTTGCCGATATTGGACATTAATTGCATGAATGCAATGAAAGTGATATAAAAACTTGCATGAAATTCTAACATTTTATGATATTCTAACATTAAATGATATTGAATTGCAAATTTTTATGATATTTAGAAGAAATTTGATAATCTTTTGAAAATAACTGGAAGATAATTTTTTGCTTGAATCAGTTTTGTATGTGATGTCATGTTTTGCCATGCACTGAGAAGCTTTCTGTGTGACTAATAGATTCAGAATAATTTTGAAAGTTCAAGTCAGAACTCTAGAAAAATATAGCACAAAAAAAAAAAAAATACGGGATTACATTCTAGAACTTTCACTCATATTCTGTAGGGAAGCACATGGCACACATGACAGTTTTTTTCCCTCCTGTTTTAGTGGGTTTTTTTTGTTTGTTTGTTTGTTTTTTTTTTAAATTTAAAATTTTTTAACCTCGACATTTTTTTTGTTATCTAGAGAGGAATCTCAATCCTAAGGCAGCATGTCTAAAACGGAGAGAGGAGGAGAAAACAGAGGAACTTCCAGGAAGTCGAGGGATGACGGCGGACGATCTGGCTGCCCAGCAAGCCGCACTATCAGGTAAGGTACGCAACTTGTTGCTACCTTATTCCACGGGTCAGTACGGCCAAGAGGAAGGGGATATGGACGACTTCTGCTGATTGTAGTTTTACTAGGTAAAACTTAACACTCGGACTTTGGCCTCGGTCATTTTCTCCTCTCTCTGGATTTTAATGCATGTTTTTTCAATACTTCCCTTCCTTGGTGGTGGTACTGAACCTATGGAACTTCTGTAAACAAGCTGTTTATTTCTAGTTATCTGACATGGCTTATTTTAAATTATTGTTTAATTTTTAATGTGGATTCAGAAGCATTTTCTTCACAGTGCCAAATGCAAACCTAATTTAACTCGATCCCTTCAAATGCATGTTCATAATGTTATCCTGACAACATATACAGTAAAGTATACAATGTCATACTTGTGATTTATTTTAGGGTCTGCCTCTTTGAGTCAGATGACATCATGTGGTGGGAGGGTAGGGGGAGTATCCATGAACAATAACCCTGCAAACAGACACGGTGCATTTCCTTATCTGTCCGGGGGTCAGGAAAACAGCCCTTATATGATGGGGGAATCTCCCATGAAATATTCAGACAGTAAATGTGCTAAATCTATGGATTCTGACATCAGCATGAACAGTATGGGTCTGACGTCGGCCGGGATGGACCACTGCCCCAATGATATGGGGATGTTGTCTCGGATGTCGTCCGATCAGGGAAATCCCTCTTGTTAACCATGGACAAAAACAAAACAAATAAAAAAAGCAATAAAAATTTTCTGTGTGCTGCTGTTGAGATGGTAAACAGGAGGATAAAAGGGAGCTTACTATTGCTGTGTCAAGACAGAGTTATCTCCCTCATTTGGACTAGTAAAGGGAGGTTATATTGAGACTATTAAGTAGGTTGGAATGAAAGTTACTACCATTTAATGATTCTCTGTTTCCTGGACAGGGAGTAGTTTGGTGTCATTTTGTTGAATCTCGACAGAAAGAGAGAGAGAGAGGAGGAGAGAACTTTTGTATATTTACTGTTGATCAGGAATGCCAGTGACATATTATTTTTAATTATGTTTAATGTTATATGTATCAGTTGCCATAGAAACAAATTGTTTTTGAATTCAAAATAGGAGTATGAATTTCCATATCCCTAATTTTATCTTTTTCGAGGGTGGATAATATATGGATGTTTTTTTTAAGAACATTCATGGCAAAATTTTTGGTCCTTTTTTTATTTTAAAAGTTTATTAAATTTTTATTGCTATCAAGACAGATTATGAAGGAATCTGCTTAAAAGTTTTATAGTCTTCCTGAGTGCAGTTTTTTTTTTAATTTTGGTAAAGGGGGGAGGGGATAAGAAAAAAAAGTCTGTGTAAAAATTGAAGTCCTGTTTCAATCTTTCAATGAAGTTGCTTCATTCAGAAAAAAAAAAAATCGATGGTTGTGAAGCGAATTTGATTCAAGTGATTTTGATGTTGGTTGTGTGTTTTTTTTTTTGTTTTTTTTTTTTTAAGAAAAAAAAAATTTATCAGTGACTGTACCGGTAAGCATTGTAACACAATATAGACCTGTACAGAAATTAAAATTTTTGTTCAAGATTATATTTTCTAGCATTAAATGAGCCAAAAATTATGGTTTTTGATGAGCAATATTCGTTATACATGCTGTATCATTGTATGAACCTATTTTTTAACTTGGTGCATTTTGAGTGTTTATTATATGACATTGTACATAGTTCATTTTTTTCACACTTTTGCATGAGAAATTCTTCAAGCCAAAACATTTTTTAAAGGGCCATCTTAATTAATTTTGGCGATAATTAAGGAAAAAGATGGTGATCTTTCCAAAAATTGGATTCAAGAAAACAGATGTGTCCAAATACATTTTGATCGAAAATTTATACCTTTTTTTCTTTTCATGATTCCTTTGTAGGGAATCAGAGTTGTTTGGTTGAAAACTGAGTAATTAGCCTATTGCCCATGTTCAGGGTCAGATTTATTCCCCTTGTATAAATGTACATAGCACCTTAAGAATTGTTATATATACAAGCCAGTGCCTGTCTTAGCTAGGACAATAAGTATTACCTCCCTTTTATAAATTAAGAAGAAAGAAATAATAGCAATGCTGTTGTGTTGGTGAAAGGGGAGGTAAATTGTTTTGGAGTCTCTAGTTATTGCATTATGTATTGAATGATTATTATATAATTAAATATATTTATCTCAAAAAAATCTTCCATGTTTTCATCTGTGTGCAAGTTGATGACCTATTTTTCAAGAATGACTTTTTTCTCTCCCTATTTTGTGAACATGACTATTTTATCAAGCCAAAGGTTGCTGAAATATGTGAAATATGCTTTATATATGTATACAGCTACTTCCAAAAAATAAGGAAAATGTTTTTTAGAGAGATGTACAATAACATTTGACCACCATAGTGAGGTTTAGTGAGGGGTTGATGAACAAGTGGTGTCAAAAGTCAACATTTTTCTACGTACCAACCCTTTTCATAAGTTATCAAGTTTATTTTGAACAATATTTCTTTTTTGTTTTTCCAATTTTGATTTTTGAGTTTGTGTACTTATAAACTCGGATCTGATTGGTTGATTTTTAAAGCAATCATTGATCTGATTGGCAAAAAATTGTGAAAGTTAAAAAAAAAAATATCTGAACAAGGTTGTTAGAAACATGTTGTGTTACCTTATTTTGCTTAGGAACAGATTCTTTAGAGTAATAATTAATAAGTGATGAATATTTATTTGTCAGTCTTGTGGCCTTACAGTTGAAACCCTTGCTAGCAAGGATGACATGTATGTATGTATATATAAATATATTATTTTAATAGCTTGGGGAAGAAAATGCCACTATTTCACCTTGACTTGATAGCTGTCTTTAAAGGGGCCTGGACACAGTTGCATTGTTTACCTTTTATATTTCTATGCTTATTCAAAAAATATAACCAGTTAAATGAATTACATGAATATTCTTAAAATGATAATGACGTTCTTCTTTACACCACATCAAACATCTGTTTTTGTAAACAGGGCACGAGCTCTGTTATTGTTAATGTTTGCGATTCACTGGGTGTGTTCAATTTGTTAAACTTTGTACACATCACTGAGCATGGACTGAAAATACTGGTGAGTTGGTTTTGCTTTCTCACATTTCTACTTTGAATTTGCTGGATTATAGTTTTAATATTTTTCATTAATACACAGCAAAATTTCTACTTTTCTTAAGTATTATGGATAAAGTTTACTTTTTGAAAGTGCAAGGATGTGTCAATCAAACGTGTCCCAAAATTCATAGTTTCAATAATTTCCAAATAAAAGAAGTTTCTTAATACACTTTTATCTTTTTTCTGTGTGAAATGCTATAGCAACATATAAGTCATGATTTTATACAGAAAATTTGAGAAATATTTAATTCAAATCTGTGTCCAGGCCCCTTTAAAAGACAATTTATTTGTAACAATCACTGAATTTGTACCTTCAATAATTTTAGATTGAAAAACCAGTCTACCACTAGCATACTTCGAAAAAATAAACATAGTATTTATATGAACAAATTTTTTTTGTCTGCAATATTTGTTTAAAGAGAATAAAACCATGACTTTTTTCTTATTGTAGAATTTTTTCCCACATCATTTTACTGATAACATTTATATACATTTAGTATAGACCATCATATTCACAATCAGTTTTTTTTAATACAAAATGGTGGTGACATTTTTTTCTGTTGGGAGCGGATTTTGTTGAAATGTTAGATCCGTGCCTCTTGACCTTTCACCTTATCACTGCCATTAGTATGTAGTATGATTTGATCATTGTGTATGCCAGGTCATTTTTCTGTCTTATCTCTGCTGAATGAGGAAGTAATAAATTACAAACCGCAGTAGATTTTTGTCTTATTTCATTAAGGAAAAAGGGAGGGGGTGTAGGAAGTGGGGGACAAAGGGGAAAAGGGGGGATTAGGCAGAAGGGGGGGGGGGGGCTTGGAAAGAAGTCGATGGAAAGGTTGGAGAAGAAGGAACAAGAAATGAGGAAGTAATAAATTACAAACTGCAGTAGATTTTGTCTTATTTCATTAAGGAAAAGGGGGGGTGTTGGATGTGGGGGACAAAGGGGGAAATTAGGCAGAGGGGGAGGGGAGAGAACTGGGAAATGTTGATGGAAAGGTGGGAGAGGAGGAAGCAAGAAATTAGGAAGAAAAAGGGGGAGGAAGAAGCAAAGGGTTAAGATTTGGGATAATAGATAGTTTTCGATAGACGCAATTTAAGCAAGAGTTATTTCCCGTCGGTCGCCATATTAGAGGTTAACAAGCCCAGATTCCTTCATTATTCAATCAATTTAAACTTGTCATACAGGGTAATGAGATGAAGACAACGCAGATTTTCGTATATACGAATACTTGATACCAAAAGCTTCCTCTAATTCATGTTTAAGTATTTTAAAGATTTTTACCAAACATGCTTAAAATTAGTTGCTCAAAGAGGAAATTTCACTAGTTTGACCTCCAAGATGGCGGCCAAGGGAAATAACTTAAAGGGAAATTACGTCATACGAAAACTATCTATATACAGAGGAAAATGAAGGGAGGGGTGGGAGATGTAAAGGAACCCAAGACAAAGAAGATGGGTTAAAAAGGAAGAAAATGCACATGGTTCAAGAAACAAGAATGGGAAAGAAGTTAATGCGCCAAAAAAGACAACAGGTAAAAAACTCTATTGATCGCATGTGTAACATGGTCATTGTAGCATGTGTAGTTAATGAACGTTTCAGTCCCTAACAAAAAAAAGCTGATTCTCAGGATTTATATAATTTATATATTAGGGTCAATTCCTCAAAAATCTTTCTTCTTTTTTTTTTCTTTTCTTTTCTTTTCTTTTTTTTTTTTTTTTTTTTTTGTTAACCAAATAAGTTTTGCCGAAATAATTCTCTGCAGAAAAGTTTTGAATGTTAAAAATTCATACCTTCACATTTATACACTTGAAGCTATAGGCTTTCCTCGCGCCTCGTTTGCCCATCTTTGATTCCTCTTATACATGGTCATTTTTGCAGTTTTCTAAATTATTTTGAATAGATGGTTCTCTTGACCTACCTTTATTTTTTACTGAATTTGAAGAAACTTTATGTATAATATTTAGAAGTTAAAGCAACATGAATGTAAAGCTGTGTATAAAGTAATCCTGAATAGCCCAGATTTACAGATTATTTTCAACTGAGAGACGGAGGCAAAGGGTTTATTTTATAGAATGAAGCATGAAGGAATAACAATTAATATTTGGTCCGAATCACTGTGATCCTTAAAAAGAGGTGAGAGGTCAGACTGTAAGGGTTCTGTGATATTTTGATGAACTCTCCGGTCTGGAAGTTTGATTAATAGAGATATTTTTTCTTTTGTTTAAATCATGGGAATCATCCCTGTTGAATTTCAAACTGCAACATGAAGGAAAAGGTTGATTAAAATACTGTAAGAAAAGTCTGTTGCAAGGAAACTTTCAAACAATACTAGAATTTCACACATCTTTAGATAATACATTTACATTTGTTGGAAGATAAAAGTTAAGGTGGAATGACCCTTGCTGTTTAAGTGTGAAGATTAGAAGGTTAAGGTGGAGTGACCCTGCTAAAGGTGAAGATCATAAGGTTAAGGTGGAATGACCGTGCTTATAGGTGAAGATAAAAATTAAGGTGGAATGATCCTGCTTAGGCGTGAAAGTGAGAAAGCTAAAGTGGAATGTCCTGCTCAGTTGTGAAGATAAGAAAGATAAGGTGGAATGACCCTACTTAGATGTAAATAAAAGAAAGTTAAAATGGAATGACCCTGCTAATATGAAGAAACAGTTAAGGAGGAATGACTCTGGTAAAGAACTTAGAATCAAGGTTAAGGTATGTCACTCGTCAGCTTTTGAGAAAAGTTTGGTCAGAACCTCTAACTTCAAAATTTTTTATTACAGTGCAATTTTTATGACATATTTGAATCAAACTATGCAAATTATACAATATTCAATTTAAAAACTGCTCACAAAACTGTAAAGAAAATGGGGGACTATTTCTTGTGATGGAAGGATATTTAGAAGAAAATTCTTCAAATCTACACATTTTTTTGATTTAATATCTTGGAACTTTAGCCCTATATATTTTTACTCGGAGAATTGTTTTCGTTATTATATGCTAGGAATATTATATATAGATTTCAATTAATATTTTTAAAACAAATTCACTCAACAGACTTTGCCAAAAAAATGAAGATATATTGAAGAAGTCAAGATAAAATTTACATTGTTTTTCGCCTGAAAATCGCATATTTTGACCAATATCTCAAAATTTACATCACTGACCCTAACTTTCTGTTTCATGATTTTAAATTACACGATACATTCAACCGATGAGCACTTAAAAGTCATAAAAAGTTTGATACAAGAAAATATTTCATTGCCTATCTACATTGTTAATACCCCAAATATGATATTTTTTTTTACTGCAAAAAGGTCATACAATACTTTACGCGCATTAATTTGCAGGATTTTTTTTCAGTAATAAATATTATTCAAACTATTTTATGTAAAATAAGATTATATTTATTGCCATGATTACATTGGTAAAATATGATTAAGGGCAATTTAAGTGCAAAAATAAAGGTCAAGTTAATGGTACCGTTGTGCAATAAAGTGAACACTGACCCCCAATTTTCTTTGCGATTTTGAGTCATGCTATATGTATATGAGTAGTTATCTAAAATATACTTCTCAAAAAGTCCTTGATATAACTCATATCACGAGTGAATATAAATACCTTAAGGTTAATGACAATGCTAAATTGAAGATGCAAAAGAGTTAGGTGTGGGGGGGGGGGGGGGGAGACGTGCTTAGGCAACCGCGTGAAAAAAGAATTCAAGTTAAGGTGGAATAACCCAGCTAAGGGTGAATGGCGTAATGACCCTACAAATGTGTGAAGATAAGTGGACTGACTCTGCTAAGTTTGAAGATAAAGAGAGTTAAAGCTGAATGACCTTGCTTAAGGACCCTCTCTACACCAGTGCAAAATGTTTTTTGAACATTGAGAAAATTATTTTGAATAAAAGTGTAAATATTGAGCTTATCTATTTAATTTTCAATATATGGTACGCGGCATTTACCCCCAGGAAAAAATTTCAAACACAACACAGTATCAGCGAACAGAAATCACTGCTGTTTACTTCCATGGAGAAAATACAAGTAAATAACATGTTCAATTAATTTATTTTGGCCTTTTAAAATGTTAAGAATACTTGAATTGATTACAAATTAAGTAATATACTGTAAATTTCTATTTATTGGAATTTAGATCTAAGGGCAGATCACTCTAACTGCAGAAAAATACCATAGAAGCAGAACTCTTTAGTGTGCAGTGTAGAGAGGGTTCTTAAGTGTGAAGGTAAGGGAAATTAATGTGAAATGACCCTACTAAGCAGTGAAGATAAAAAAAGTTAAAGTGCATGGAATGACCTTGCTAAAGTATGAAGGAAAAGTTAAGGCGGGATTAATCTGATAAGTATATGTGATGACAAAGGAAATTATGGTGGAATAACCATATTAAGGTGTGAAGAAAAAGAAAGTTAAGGTGGTATGACCCTGCTAAGGCACATTATTAAAATAATAATACTTGTTAATATAGGTTCTTCTGCTTTAACAGTTTAAGGAGTTGTTCAATTCATTTATTCACTCTAAAAAAAAATGGTAGATGGGTGTATAGATACAAGAAAGTGTTACATTATACATAAAATAGAAATATATGTTAGAAAAGCAGGGAGTTGTGTTGAGATTAATATGAAAATGACTGCACATAGTGTCTTTTATATAATCGCCTTGTGCGGTTTTTGTGAATAGGCATTTAGATAATCTTTTGAATTAACGCAGAAATTACGTGAAATGCCTTACCCCTCATCATTGAGGCTCATGCAGAAAAAAAAAACGACGCGCATCTCGTGTTTGTTATGTAATTCAATAAATTATTTAAGCAGACGTTTCTGTTGTAATTCAAAATTCTGTGATATTCCTACGACTTTATTGTTAGAGTAATTAGGGCAATATGCTGCTATCATGTTTACTTGCTTTCTTGACCAAGGGGCTTATCATTGACGGTAAATTTGTTGTTTGTAGAGTATCAATGAAAGTAATTATTAATGTATGAATACGATAATTAAAGAAAGTTAATTGCTGAAATCAAAGAAACAGTCAGGAAATTCTGCTTTTGACACTTGCTATAGGCGCTTCGTTCAAAAATAGCTTTCCAAGTGCACAAAAAATAGATTGGTTTTACAAACAAAAGCCCCATGGGCCACATCGCTCACCTGCGCACGTTGGCTAGGAAAAAGCAGAAATCAGTTCAGTATTGAAAAGTTTAAATATAAAAGTGGTTCGGAGGGGGGGGGGGGGGAGATTTGATCAAACTTGAATCTACATTTCCTAAGGATGCTTTTGAATAAATATGACACATAATGACTTCGCCGTTCTTAAGATGAAATATTTTATTGAAATAATTTTATATTTCTTTGTATAACTATGATCCCCTGTTATGGTCCCTCTATTCTCTTGGAGGGTAATGATTTGAAATCTAAATTTACATTACCTGAGGATGCTTTAATATTATTATAACCAATCATGGCTTTGCTGCTCTATTGAAGAATTTTAAAGATTTTTCCTATGTATTCTTATGTAAAACTTTGATCACCCATTGTTGCCCCACCCTACCCCCGGGGATCATGATTTGAACAAACTTGAATATACACTACCTGAGGATGCTTACATATAAATATGACTAATCATGGCTTTGCTGTTCTTGAGAAGAAGATTTTTAAAGATTTTTTTTCCTATGTATTCCTATGTAAAACTTTGTTCGCCCGTTCTGGCCCCGTCCTAGCCCCGGGGATCATGATTTGAACAAATTGAAATCTACACTACCTGAAGATGCTTCCATATAAATATGACCAATCATGGCTTTGCTGTTCTCGAGCAGGGATGGGGTAATTGATAAAAGTAATTGTAATTGAGTGTAATTAATTACATTTTTCGAAGTAATTTGTAATTGACCATTTTTTCAATTACTTGTAATTGAATATAATTAATTACAATGAACAAAATACCCTGTAATTTCATTACTTTTCAATTACACTTCAATTACTTTAAGGACCCTCTATACACTGATGAAAAATGTTTTTTGGACTTTGAGAAAATTATATAGCGTAAAGGAAGATGTTTTGAAATTAACTAATTCATTTTTGATATAGGGAGCGTGCCTTTTTTATCCAGAAAAAATCTTCAAAGATAATGAAGTAATTATAAATAGAATTCGCCTTTGCTTACTCAAATGGAGAAAATACATGCAAATAAAGTTTTCAAATACATGTACTCTATCTTGGTCTAATATGATGTTTAGAATACTTGGATTTATTTTAAATTATGTCATACAGTGCAGGTTAAAATTTATTCTATTTCTATATCAAATGATGGGTCAGTCTAACCACACAAAAGTACCCTGAAATTAGGGTGGAGTGTAGAGAGAGTCCTTAAATAATACATATTATGCGTATTTAATAGGAAAATATTTTCAACACAGTCACATTTTACAGTTATTTTAGTTTATTCAAAGAAGCCCTTCTGTTTTTTTTTTTTTTTTTTTTTTTTTTTTTTCTCCAAAATTTAAACTCTTTTATATCTCAATAAATGAATTTGATATATTGTCTTGTTTATAAAAATATTTGTTTTATAATTATAATGCACATTAAGAATTAATACTAGTTTAATGTTTATCAAATATTTTGTTCTTCCTCTCATTGGTATAGGCATGTAACATTTCAATTTCTTGTTGCTTGATTAACAAAAAAGAATAGAAAATAATTTAATGTGTCATTAAGACCTGCCTTGTTGCCCTTCAACTCCCAGCTGTAAATTGTTATCAAAACAACCCTCCAAAATTTTATATAAATTTATACCATGCTTTGTTTAAATTCAAAGTTATGACCATTAGAGGTGCATGATTTATTAAATACTATTAAGTATTTATGTATGCATGTAAGACTAGCTCTTATGTTGATGAAACACACAAACATGACGGGCACCTGACATTATTTATTTTAAATATTCCCATTACCTTAAATTTACACGTATTTGTTCTTGAAGATTTTTGAAAATGAAACAAAAGTAATTGAAATGTATTTAATTACATTCTTCAAAGTAATTGAGAGTAATTAATTACATTTGTAAAAATCAATGTAATTGTAATTGCAAGTAATTGACAAAATTTTCAATGTATTTGAAAGTATTTAATTACATTTCAAAGTAATTGACCCCAACCCTGTTTTCGAGAAGAAGATTTTTAAAGATTTTTTTTATGCATTCCTATGTAAAACTTTGTTCGCCCATTGTTGCCCCAACCTAGCCCCGGGGGTCATGATTCGAACAAACTTGAATCAACACTACCTGAAGATGCTTCCATATAAATATGACTCAATCATGGCTTTGCTGTTCTTGAGAAGAAGATTTTTAAAGATTTTTTTTAAATGTATTTTTATGTAAAACTTTGTTCGCCCATTGTTGCCCCAACCTAGCCCCGGGGGTCATGATTCGAACATACTTGAATCTACACTACCTGAGGATGCTTCCATATAAATATGACTAATCATGGCTTTGCTGTTCTCGAGAAGAAGATTTTTAAAGATATTTCCTATGTTTTCCTATCTAAGACTTTGATCGCCCATTGTGGTCCCACCCTACCCCTGGGGGTCATGATTTGAAAAAATTGAATCTATACTATCTGAGGATGCTTCCATATAAATATGACCAATCATGGCTTTGCTGTTCTTGAGAAGATTTTTAAAGATTTTTCTTTTGTATTCCTATGTAAAACTTTGATCCTCCAATTGTGGCCCCTCCCTATACCCGGGGGTAATGATCTGAACAAATTTAAATCTACACTATCTCACAATGATTCCACATAAGTTTAATATTTTCAAGCACATTGGTTTTTGAGAAGAAGATTTTTGAATTATGCCATTAATTTTTCACGAAATCATAATTATCTCCCCTTGGAAGAATGCGTGTTCCTTCATTTGAACAAACTTGAATCCCCTTTACCCAAGGATACTATGTAGCAAGTTTGGTTGAAATTTGCCCTGTGGTTCTTGAGAAGAATATGAAAATTTGAAAAGTTTACGACGACGACAACGACGACAGACAACGGACAAATTTCGATCAGAAACCTTCGGCTCAGGTGAGCTAAAAAAGGTGATAATTAAGAAACCCTGACAACAACAACAACAAATTGTCTCTGCGATCAAAGAGTTTGAATTATAGATTCATTGGATTGTCAGTCGATTTCCAAATTAGTTCCACCTTCACCTCAATGTTTCTTAGATCCGCGCGCATAATTCATTAGTGGAGGAATGCGTAAGCAATGTGTATATATGTCTCTGTATCTTTGCTTCGACAAGGAGTGTTACGAAACATCTGAGCCATGTCTGATGGAATCCTCCTTGACAACCATATGTCTATCAAACACTGGTGTCTTGTTCTTTTTATCTATACAGTTCATCGCAATACATGATATACTTACATGAATAAATATATCTCTCTCAGACTCCAGCTGCCGCGCGCTGTTTTCTCCTCACTCCATACAAATCATTTTTCATTCCTTTTAATTATTTCCTTGCACTCTTATCATTACATGTTCAAGTATTTTTATTAATAGCTGCATACCGAGAGATATGTTTTTCTTCAATGCAATTTTAAAAAGTTTTCATGCAGTCAAGTAAGCAAAGCTTTGCAGAGAGACCGGAAATATAAAACACACAGATGCATGTATGACCGTGGTGGAGAAATTGACACAGGATGCTAGCGTCAATATGGGCGACACTTCTCTCATTATGGTTCTGGGTTGTTTTAGCAGGTAGGTTTCAATTATAGCTCTGTGCATGAATCGAGTGTGTATATCAAACCATATGTTTCTTTTAGCTTCCATGGGTTTTACATAAAGGAAAGTATTTAACGAATGACAGTTTTTTTCTCCAATGTCCTGATTCAAATGTAAGTGGTTAAGGGATTATCTGAAATAGAATACTTTGTTGTAACATGAGAGAGTTTAAAGATTTATATCTCCGTAAAAAGTAAGTTTAAAAAATTATTTTTATATATATTGTTTTATTTGCACATGTATACATTGTAAGTATACTTTACATTTATTTCACATGCACTTAGTGGGTCGTCTTGCTTCAAATTTCATCAACGTACGTATACAATGCTACTTGTCAGAGCTCATAGAAGCAACATGTATATGCAGACGTATAGTAGAACTCAGAATTTATGGTCTTCGTGATTGTTTCAGAGTATTGTTGGAAGGTTAAAAGAAAACATGTAGCAGTAATCATCATGCGGCTTAGTTTGATTTTTTTGTCCAAACTGAATTATCCGAGTTTGTCCAATGATTGCAAGTCAAAGTAGTTCAACACATGTTGTTAATATTACAAAATTGACAGTATTTGTGATAATTTTATACGAACAATGTCACAACACGAAATGCAATAACAACACAAAATGTAATAAACTGGGATTATTACATTTTGCGTTATTACATTTGCGTCGAAATCAATGCAGAATGTAATAACGCAGAATGTAATAAGAAACTTTTAGGAATACATTGTATTACATTTTGCGTTATATTACGTTTTGCGTTGATGTCAACGAAAAATCTAATAATGCAAAATGTAATTAGATATTTTTTGGATTATTTTATTTTTTGTTATTATTTTTTGCGTCGATATTCAGCAAAACGGAACAATGCAAAATGTAAAAACACTCTGGTCAGTTAGGTTGAGAATAATTTTAACACCAATGATTATATATTGCTTTATTATTAGCCGTTTCCTGATCTACGAAATAATGCAAGTTCCATTTCAAGAGATCAAATATAAAGGCCTTCAGACATGGCAATTTTTATAAATATCTATTTTTTTTAAAATGCAAAAGGATATGTCATTTCTTGTGTTTACGTATATTTGAGTAACTAGTATTTGATTCGTCAATTATATCATTGATTAAATTCCACCGATTTTCATGAAAAAAACTCACACTTGTATAATTTTGTCTTTTAATATTCATGAGTTCTTCATTCAATGTCACGGCTGCATTTTCTTTTTCCTAATATTTTTCTAGATGAACTTCTTGCTGCAGGAACAGGCTGTTCATCCAATCCATGTTTGAACAATGGCACATGCGTACCAGCTTTCTTCCGGTGCCAGTGTCCTGAAGGGCATGCAGGCCAGTATGGATGACCCCCCCCCCCCCCGTCTGTTTATTACATTAATCGTGAAAAAATAATGACACGAAGAAACAAATCTGTTCTAACAAAAACAGTTTTGTAGACAATGAATTTAGGTGGTACAGGATAGATTCCGATTATTAAATTACCGGTTTTCGGTTATATTTGAAAGGATGAAGTAGCGTAGGGTTTGAATGCTTTTAAGTTTTACTTTTAAATGTTTCATAATCCTCACGGTACAGGATGTAGAGCGAATATAAATTTTTCGACACACATTTTACAATTAGCTCACAATGTAGCCTGGTTCCCTGACCTTCCCATAAAGTTCATGTTGAAATATTTCATTTCTGTACGTTGTATCATTTCAATTATTCTGTAAAATGATCTCATAATTTGAATTATAAATTAATCTTCCTTTTTTTCATCACAATGTACACAAATATATTTAACAAAGTTTTAGTTAAAAATAGGTCGCCTTTATAAATAGTAACACAAACATTTGTTATATGTCAAAATAAAAAAAAAACAAGCTAATTCAGAGAATTTGTGTCCCCCGCTTAGGGAAAAAAGAAGAGCATGCGCAGTTCGGGGGGGGGTGGGGGTCGGACCCCCCCCCCCCCCAGATTTGTAGCATTATTAAATGTATATATGTATATTGAAGCAAATAAAAAATGCCAATATGGATATAGAGATTTGATTGCTTATTCTGTAATATGTGTATAGAAGATTCTGTTTATATAGAATATTTATCACACTGTAATAATGATTCTATGAGTTTGTACAAGCCAGACGTCATAACTTTTTCATTTCACATGCTGAATACTATCATCTAGTAAATCAAAAAAAAAAAAAAAAAAAAAAAAAAAAAAAAAAAAAAAAAAAAAAGGATCGTCTGGGATTTGAAGCCGCACCTCTCACATGCTAAGCGAGAGTCATACCCCTAGTTCACGGAGGCACTTGATTATGTAGCAAATTAAATACAAACAGTAGGTCACATATAATGTTTATATTCACGTTCGATATTGTCAAAATTTTACATAATACATGGAGTTTAATTTAGCCTTTACTAAACAGTTCTAATAGATGTAATAAGAATATAAAGTCCGCCGACAACCTGTGTTATACGTAATAACTCTCCACATGCCCCTGTGCTAAAAATAGTGCCAAGCGACTTTTAATACAATAAATAAATATAAAAAAAACGGGGCGGGATACTTTGAGAGGGGCCCGAGAGGCCCTACGGAGTTATGGTATAAGATTTCATTGCAAAAGCTCAAAAGCTTCTTGAGATATCGCCCGGAAACGAAAGTGTTACACACAGAGGGAATGCATGAATTTACGACCTTGAACTTTGACCTTTTGACCTCAAAATCAATAGGAGTCTTCCTTAGGCCACAGGGAGTTGTTATGTAAAATTTCATTGCAAAAGGTCAAAGGATTCTCGAGATATCGCGCGGAAACGAAAGTGTTAAAACAGACAAAATTTAGGAATTTATTACCTTGACCTTTGATCTTTTGACCTCAAAATCAAAAGGGGTTCTTCGTAGGCTATAGGGAGTTGCTATGCAAAATTTCATTGCGAAAACTCAAAGGGTTCTCGAGATATCGCGCGGAAACGAAAGTGTTTCAGACAGACAGAAATAAAGATGGACGGACGGACAGACAGACCCAAATTAATATCCCCCACTTTCAGCGAAAGCGGGGGACAAAAAAAGAGCACATTCTAATGACGAACATTACTCTTTTTACTGAGGTTTGATACTCTCTATTTTTCAAATTCTAATTTTCAAAAAAATATGTGGGCAAATAAAAAAAATTGAGGATAAATTTCTTTCTAATCATCATCATTAGGTTTCAAGTTAAACGATGAATATGAGGAGTAATAAGATAGTTTTTCTATGACGTATTTTGCCTCGGAGTTATTCCCTTTGGCCGCCATCTTGAAGGTTAAAGTCGATGGAAAACCATCTATTGCTCAAGACAAACAGCTTATAGCATTCAACAAATAAACAAAAGTACATAATGAATGCGTATGTGTTGTATACTGCATGTACCTTAATTTACACTTTTTATTACAGAAATTTCGACGGATTCACGCAGCTCACTGGGAGGATTCACTTCCGGTTTTCTGTCTGGAATGAGCGCCATGTTGTTCCTGTTTGTGACAGTCTGTGGCTCCATGTACCTTGCCAGGTAGGTATTACTCGGCACACCTCGGCCGATTCGTACCTCATTTAACGATGAACTTGAAGGCGACGGAATCATCCGAGGTTTGCACAATAAGATATTTAAAACTTGTATATAGAGACGAAATATAAAGAACCAATGCATCTCTGATTGACATATTTAAGGATCATTACCCCTCTGATAAAAGAGAACTCTAACTGGAATAAATGTCTATTATTCCTTTGAAATAGTTGTCATTTCTGTCAAATTTTGCTCTGCAATGTATGCTGAAATTGCATTTTAATTATAAATTAGATATCTTTTAGAAAATCATGATCTTTAAAGCAAAATTTATATGCGGTAACAGAGAGACGAGGTACCTTAAATAAGTATACAAAAGAACAAAACACAGCTTTCCTTCAAACATTCACGGCTTTTGCGATGGAGGGAGAAAGTTTGTCGATGTGAAAAAGATCAGGCATCTTAATAAAAGTTCCCCTGACTGAAAAAAACATGCGAAAGAAATCATTACGTATATGTTCCACTGACAATATTGTTAAGGAAATTAGCCCGAATAAAATTGGGTAACGGTGTATTCCTCGAATGGATCAATATGTTTTCTATTGGTTCATGTTTTTAAAATGTATTTTGATTAAAACGATATTATCCACCCAATACAATCTTGTTGAGAAATTATGTAGTCCTTATATAATAATTTTTCAAATTTACATTAAACTTAATTTTATCTTCTATAGGAAATACGAGGAACACAAAGAACTCAAAAGAATGAGAAAAAGACAGGAGGTACTGCAGATACAGGAAAATGGCCACAATTAATGATCTCTTCAACAGTTCATTTTTGATCCCAATGATTTTTATGAGTTTTAAAGCTAAATCCGTAGTTATCAATCATTATTTGTGGTTTTTCTAGTATGAGGTTTGGTGTGACCTTCACGACAAATATAATTTTTGGAAAATTCTTCGAGTAAACAATTTACGTTTTGTTAAAACAGCCTGGGAGGTGCTCTGTTTTCCAGTTGCCAACACTTGAACATGCGAAATACTATAGTAAGTAGTGATTGGTTAAAATATTGATGTAAACTCGTTGATTAGATATTATATTCTGATACTAGCAATAAATTTGTTGAATTATTTTTCTACACTGTGTTTTTCCTATGCTTAGCTACAAAACAATTTCGTGATGATAAATTTGTTTAACCATAAATTTTCTATAAGGCCATCTTTAAAAAATTGTTTGGTTGCCCTCTCCCGACCGACTGGCTAAAAGTGGTCAGACTCAAAACTTTTTTTTCACCTCCAGGAAGCAATTATTTTTTTATGCATTCTGGAAAATAGATTTTGAAAATTCAGCATTGAAATTGAAATGCTCTGGGAAAAAAAGAATTTCTCACCTACCTACAGACCCATTTTTTTCATCCTCAGTCGGGATAGGGCAAACAAACATTTTAAAGTTGGCCTAATGCGTTTTTTTTTTAAATATACTTTTCTACAAAACATTTGAGTTGAACGGAAACAGGACTTAAGGAGACATTGGAAAATGATTTTCTTTGATGGTATAAGGGAAACGTGACTGTGTTGATATTTGATTAAAGCTTCTTACTGAGAAAAATCTTTTGTGTGTGACATGCAGTTACACATATAATTAGCAACTTATTGACGCATAATTAGAACTTACTAAATGTGATAATAACCATGCAAGGACAACTTACCGGTACACCACCAACACTATAATTGAAAATTAATATATAATCCTTGAAAAAATTACCTAACAGTTTTCTATGAGAATTATATTCAAATAGATTCAATTAATCTTCATTTTAACTAATACATTTTAAGTCAGAAATCCATATATGGTCAGTAACTTTACGTATACATGTATTTTGATAAAAATGCTTGCCATACAAATATATTTTTTCCCTTCTTATCCAAAACCTAAATGATTCTCAGTTCTCACTTAAAAATGGATAAAGGAAGTAAAAGCCAGTTTTGCAACATTGACGAATATTCGAAATAAGCGATCAGAATGTATGCTTTCAAAATAACGCAAATGATTTAACGATTTTCCAAAAAAAATCTAAGTTACACTAATGCAATGTGAACAGTTTCAGCATACCGTGCAGGCAATTAAAAATCAAAGTACTATAAGTACTGATAGACGGTGGCGTGAATGATTTTGTTTCTTTAACGTCCCTCTCGAGAATTTTTCACTCATATTGAGACATCACTATTGCCGTTGGTAGGCTGCAAATTTAGATCTATATTCAGCACTCCAGGCTATTGAGTAGTGAGGGATCTTTTTCTGACCAGCACTTACTGCGACACGGGACCTCGGTTTAACTGTCTCCACGTCCCGCAGTGGGATTCGAACCCGCTACTTAAGGATTGACTCCTTCATGTTCGTGACTCTAGAGCAAACGCTAACCACTGCGCCACACGGCGACCGGCATTGAATGAGATAAAATATTATTAGAATCTGTAAAATTACGTGATGGAAATTATGAAAGTTTATTGCAATTTTTCAGGATGCATGTTTTTTGATAAGTAAATTTTATAAGTAAATTTATATTTCCGAAGTATAATGAGGACATGTATTAATTGTAGTTGTTAATGTATTGCATGAAATTTTCTACATTGGGTTTATTATAAAATAAGGATTGAATAAAAAAAAACTATCCCCGAAATGCCAGAAACGAAATTTCGATCATTTCAGGGTTTTTTTTTTCTATATGTACTATTGTGGTGTACAGTCATAATTGCAAATTTAAAAATGAAAACATATTTAAGGGTGATGGACAGATTGAAATTATATATTCAAATAATGGATTTTGGGATCTTTTAGTATTTTTCCCATAAATTAATGCTTAAAACGTGTCAAAACCAGTTTACCCTAAATGTTAAATCATAAGGGAATGAAGGTTCCTAATATACTCATGTAGTGGCCGAACATTTTTATTCTAAGATGCATGTTTTACAAAAATGTGTAAAGAAATCATGGTGTTTTGAAGTTAGAAATTTTGACTTTATAATTTCAAATCTTTACTCAGTGATTAATAATCAAATTTTGCCCCCCCCCCCAAAAAAAAAAAGAAAATATGAACAATTTTTCGTTACTTATTGGAAAGTTTTTTTTAAATTTGAGTAGAATTGAACCCACAATATTTTTTTAAACAAAAACTTACTTTTCATAAAGTATATGGTAAAAAGGGAAATGATGAATCACTTTTGGTCATGTACTGTAGATTGTGCGACATAAATCATATGCTGAAAGATAAATGAAATAAACTTTATCCTTGGATTCCCATCTTTGCCAAATTCCTTGGCTGTAATTAACTTATTTCTAAAAGCTTGAAAGACTCCAGGAATTGTACAGAAGTCTTACTTCTTTGTTTGATATATACTGTTCGGGAAAAAAAAAGAAGAACAGAAAAACAAAATATTTGACAGCCTCTATTTCTCCATCGTCTCAAGCCACGGTTCGGAGTCCGCATATAGCTCTCTTCAGAATGGGAGAAGATCGTATATTTTGGCCGTGGTTTGTGACGATGCTATTTCTCATACGTAATCTTAATATGCACTGGCCCTGCTTACTGCTGCTAGTCATTGCGCAATACGAAATTTAATTTGTGAACACACGCAGGAGAAGACTGACCTAAATTAAGCCCACTGAATTCGCAAGAAAATCCTAATACATTTTGTATATCATGCATGTGTATTTTAGTACCTTTTAAAGGGTAAATTTAATCGAGGCACGATAGAATTTTGAAATACGAATGAAATATATTGTTAACTTTTCTCCGTCACAGTCTATTTAATTATAACTTTGATAAATTAGCATTCGTTCAGTAGTTTTTGTGTCCGAGATAATAAGGCAATGGCTTATTATCATATTTTTTTTTAATAGAATTGTAATAAACTTCACAAATTTTATGGCATCGTATCTGCCTCCAACAACTCTTTTATCAACTGATTACCAATAAGATGTCGTGATTTTTTTTTTCTTTCCGAAAATATATATATATTTCTAATATGTTATCGTCAACAGATATTAGAAATTCAAACAATCAAAAGACAAAATTACAGTTAACTTTAAAAGTTTTATTGTATAAAAATTCCACAAAACGTTTCAAATAAAACATTTATTAAACATGCAATTCCGGAACAAGGAATGTGCAGTCCTCGAATCATATTGTACTTTTGGAATTGGGAAAATTTGTAGATCGACGTTTTCCTAGATGGAGTATCTCATAACTAGGGAGTATCAAATTGGGAACGTCTCGTAATTACCGTTTGTCGCATACATGTAACTAAGAATCCACCGTGCGTGTGTTTAGCAATTATAATTATTTGATTTCAAAGTTAAAACGTGAAACATATTATTCTCAAATATTTTTCCCTTAAATATTCTGACTATTAATAAATATTATTTAAATGTTACATTAACACAACGTTAAAAAAAGCTGTGTGACTTCTGTAGTTTGCATACGAATATACGAGTAAGTCTGTGTACGAATTAGTTGTCGGTCTGCGTAATTTAATGAATATTCATGAAGCGAGAAATATCGATAATGGCAAATATCAGGAATTAAGCTTTGTGCCCATCAACAAAATGTCTTTGAAATAACTTGAGAGTATTTGTTAACTATGTGCATTTTATTTCCAAACATCGAATCAACCCTATTTTCATTATTTTGACTCTGCAAAAATCGCCGCTAGGGTCCCCGTGATTTTACACTGTTGTTATTTATAGCCCAAAAGCAGCAGCAATAGCCTGTGGCTATAAATAGCCACCGTCTAAAAAGGAATTTATCTGAGTTAGAGTTATCTCTCTTATCTGAGAGTCAATGAACTTTAAAATAGTTTTTCTGCAGCAAGAGGTGTGGTCATTCAGCAGGTTTTACTTTACTTGTCATAATGTGTTACAAATGGGTCATTCAAGGTTAGTCGATGATGAATATCTATGAAATGTTTGTAATTAACATGTTCGGGTGAAATATTTTCGATGACGAAGTGCGAAAATTTCTTAAACTAAATTCCATTTCATTCATCAAACATAAAAAAGATCCTGAAATCACATATGCAAAATTAAAATAAATTTTAAAAAAGTCAATCAAGACGTCCAAAGGCCACACGACTCACCTTAGTCACAAATCTCCTGCTGACAAATGGATATGAGCTAAAATGAGACCCTTATTGCAGCCACAGACTAAACCTTCATTTGTTTTTTTTTTATTTACAGGCGATTGACCAAATACTTATATCAAATTTACAAATTATAGCCATGTTCCTCATATAAAGGTATTATGCATAAACATCAGGGCATTAAAGTAAGGATTAGAAAAGACGTTAGGTCAGGAATTGCTACCAACAAGAAAATGTACTTTTAATTACATTTAAGCTAAAATTTCAAGTAGAGTTCTGATGATAAACCTTTAATGTTACTTATGGAAATAAAGGGTCTTTTTTCTAATTTATAATATTATAAAAAAAAATAAATATTTATACATCTAAAGACCATAATATTCGCGAATACCGTCATTTTAATTTTCTGCCTTGTTGTAAGAATTAAAGAAACACCTTCAAATAAATTCTTAGAACGCATGATTGGAGATTGTACGTGTATGTGTATTTCCTCCTTCTTTATTAATATATTTTTGTACACTTTCAACTTTATATAAAGATTTTCATGCTCTGTGACTGCTTTTTCTCAGACCCCTCCCCCTTTTTTAAATATATACAATTGAAGAGTTTTATATGGAGATCTTACTTGGAAAAGAAAACACCAATTCGATAAAAAAAATTTAAAAACAAAAAATAATTCGTCTCGACAAACTGCAAAAAAGATAAGAAAAATACTTTTCCACAAATACCTATTAGTTCAATGCGATTTATTATTCTCTGCATTCATATCCTATACGTTGTAGGTCAAAACAATCTATTTCGACTTCATTTTGGCGTAATACACTGTTTGGTAGCAATTCCTGACGTCGTATTAAAGCAAAACATGCCTTCATCATCCTCGGACCTGTGTGGAGGTCAATAGCACTGACGACATGCAACGAGGTCCGTATCTACAACAGTAACATGAACTCTGTGATCCTCTGTGGATCAGAAAAGTGGACAGTTATCACCTCTAACAAACTACAAACCTTCACAAATAGTGAGCATCAGGTGACCAGACACCACCTCTAACAAACTACAAACCTTCACTAACAGTGAACATCAGGTGGCCAGACACCACCTCCAACAAACTACAAACCTTCACAAACAGTGAACATAAGGAGGCCAGACAACACCTCCAACAAACTACAAACCTTCACAAACAGTGAACATCAGGTGGCCAGACACCACCTCCAACAAACTACAAACCTTCACAAATAGTGAGCATCAGGTGACCAGACACCACCTCCAACAAACCTTCACAAATACTGAACATCAGGTGGCCAGACACCACCTCCAACAAACTACAAACCTTCACAAACAGTGAACATCAGGTGGCCAGACACCACCTCCAACAAACTACAAACCTTCATAAACAGTGAACATCAGGTGGCCAGACACCACCTCAAACAAACTACAAACCTTCACAAACAGTGAACATCAGGTGGCCAGACACCACCTCTAACAATCTACAAACCTTCACTAACAGTGAACATCAGGTGGCCAGACACCACCTCCAACAAACTACAAACCTTCATAAACAGTGAACATCAGGTGGCCAGACACCACCTCTAACTAACTACAGACCTTCATAAACAGTGAACATCAGGTAGCCAGACACCACCTCTAACAAACTACAAACCTTCACAAACAGTGAACATCAGGTGGCCAGACACCACCTCTAACTAACTACAAACCTTCACAAACAGTGAACATCAGGTGGCCAGACACCACCTCTAACAAACTACAAACCTTCACAAACAGTGAACATCAGGTGGCCAGACACCACCTCTAACAAACTTCAAACCTTCACAAACAGTGAACATCAGGTGGCCAGACACCACCTCCAACAAACTACAAACCTTCATAAACAGTGAACATCAGGTGGCCAGACACCACCTCCAACAATCTACAAACCTTCACTAACAGTGAACATCAGGTAGCCAGACACCACCTCTAACAAACTACAAACCTTCACAAACAGTGAACATCAGGTAGCCAGACACCACCTCTAACAAACTACAAACCTTCACTAACAGTGAACATCAGGTAGCCAGACACCACCTCTAACAAACTACAAACCTTCACAAACAGTGAACATCAGGTGGCCAGACACCACCTCCAACAAACTACAAACCTTCACAAACAGGCGTCTGCGCCACATACTAAACATCAGATGGCCAGAAAATATAAACAGTAAGAACCTGTGGCAAGCAACAACTCAGGCCCGATCATTCAGCAAATGGTCCTGTGGAAGTGGATTGGGGACACCTCAGGTGGCATTACCCTGGGCAAACGTCGGGTCGGGCGTCCCACGATTACTTGGCAAAGGTAAATCAGACAGGGTGGATAAAGCTGGGGGCAACTGAAAAAGGCTCCCCGAAACAGAGTGCGTTGGAAGACTGTTGCTATGGACCTATATTCCACACTGAATCAAAAGGAACCATGATGATGATGAAGGGGTCTGTTTAATCAAGTTAAGGTGGTACACCCTTTTTTGGCACCGGGGCCATTATTTGCATAGCTTTGAATCTATATGTACAAAGGGGGATCATGTTACATTGTGCCACTGCTATTCATTTAAGAGATGAATGTAATTTTTGAGAATTCATGAGGACATGAGGACGCTTCGCGCCTGCGTTAGCGCTTCATGATAAATATACAGGCGTGAAGCGTTGTAGTTGATGTACCTCAAGAATTCTCAAAAATGAAATTTGCAGTTACTCCGAAACCAATGATGAACCGCAAGAGATTTTGGAGCTTTCTGTAAAGCTGTAACCAGGATTTAAAATCCCGAACCCGAGGGTTTTCATTGTAGTCAACTTGATCAGTAAATTTGCACACAGAAGCTTGTGTCAACAGACAATCAGATAAAAAAATCTGTTAAATGTCTCTTCTTTGTACAGATCATTTGTACAGCCTTGTGTGTTTTAAATCACCAGGGTATCTACAGAGGGGGGTCATCACTTGTCGTAACGATTGTTTTTCCCCCTAATGTGCCAGGTCGACCCCGTGCCAGTCTGTTGTCATTGTTCTCTGTTGGTATGGAAGCCTTGGCATTTTTCACCGACACCTCAGGTTCCTTGGACTCTGTCATTAATATTATAACCAAATAATTTCACAGTTTAAGGTATATTTTTTGTTTGGGAATGGAGAACTGAAAAAAATGTAAGTCTTTAATATTGATTATTTACTTTTTTTTCTTTTTATATTAGATGTAACTTATGAATTTTACAATCAAGTAAGTTATTAGATTCTTCTATTAGATTCATCTATTAGATCCTTCTTTTTTGGAAAACAGTGTTATTTAAAGATGTTTTGTTATGTTTTCTGGTCGATATGGTGGTTAATAGACCTTATCTAATTCGGGTGCAACGGAGATGAGACGTGCAATTAATTATAATCAAGAATCAAATAAAACCCCCATAGAGCATTTACCTCTCTGTCGATTTAAAATAAGAAAACATTATTCCATTTTTAATATTTTCTTCATCTGGTGAATATCACAGGATGTGAACAGCATCCTGGAATAATTTTCAATATTATGTTGGCATTTCTAAGCGAACGGATAAACAAAGAGTGTGTTGTATGTACATGTATCAATGTGGGTTAGAACTTAAACCATAAAGAATTTAATGTAAGAGAGAATTTGTTTTTTTAATTATCCATGAACATTAGTTGTCAAAAGCTATTATAATTATGAAGAAACATAAATTTTTGAATATTTAAGATATTTACATTTCTAATCATAAATTCCCAGAATTCAAGAGTTCTTAGTTATCCCTCAGCATTAAAAGCAACAAAAACACGTAAAACACAAATAAGGATTGAAAAGTTGCCCCCAGAATACGTAGCTTCTCATCACATGCTTCCAGGTCGAGTGGGGTACAGTTAGTTAATTTAAGTGATACCTATTTTTTGTTAACGATGAGTTAATATAAAAGTTAACGACAAGTTAACTTTCAATTAAAAAAGTCTTAATGTAATTCAGCCCGGGGTTTTGGAAACATTGAAATTACAAAGAACTACAATGGACAAAAATTGCTGAACTTGTTTCGATAATTTTTTGTCAGGTTTGAGCAACAAAATCAAGGCCGTGTACTTTTGTACCCTCTGTATGTGAACCAGTCAAAAACAGCGGAGTCATCAGATAAGGAGGTGTAAAACGGCCTAATTGATTACGAAACAATGGGATGTCGTCTGCGACTGTTAAAAATGTCCACCTTTGGTCCTGTTCTCTATAATTTATGACGCAAATGATCATTGTTGTTAGATATGAATACAGTAAAGTCCGCGTACTCTCAATTAAGATGTAAATGTATGCAAAGAAGTCAAAATATAGGGTGTTTTGTCGTATCGTTGCTTATTTTCAGAAACAAATTTACACATGTATAAAGTTAGGAATTATCCCAAATGAAAAAAAGTTAGGTCATTGCTTAAATACTTTAAGTGCTTAATATTGGAAAACATTGCATATTTGCTTTAACAATTATTTAGCATGCAGAATTAACCAAAGGATTGAAATTGTGTCCAAAAAAAAAAAAAAATAAAAAAAAAAAAAAATAAAAACACCATGAAAGTATCCTAACAGAACAACCGTTTTATGAAGAAATCGTCAAATCTCTCTATTTTTAATATATTTTCAATATATCCTGATTTTTTTTAGGTCTAGATACAGAAGCATACGCATTGACATTCATAACAACCTAAAAGACACTGTTGCCAATGGTTACCTCAATAGGTCATACAATGGCGGGAGAAACTATGCAAAATGGAAGACTTACTTCCGCCGGAACTTTTGCAATCTGCCAATTCACGAGGATTGTAACGCCACGCGAGATTTAGCATATCTTGAGAGAAAGGGACTAATAAAAGTAGGAGAATATGACGTTCTTGTTGATGTTTTTCGGAAAATTGATGAAAGAGCGATAGAGTACATCGAGAAAAAGACGTCTGATATAAAAGCTGTTGGAAAAGGTAAGGCAGTTTAAACACTGTGCATAGTTTATGAAAAGTTTAACATATAATAAAATATTTTCAAAGTTCATGTTACAATTTTTAATTCACTTTTTCAAAGTAAACAGGCTCTTTGTCTCTAACCTAAATATTTCGACTCGCACATGGATTCTGACGTTAAAATTTATTTTAAAAATTGACCATATCTTAGAAAGTGTCATACAAAAATAATTTTTGTTTCAGATGTCCGAAAAAAGAAGTGGGCGCGACTGAGAGTCCTAGCCAATCCAGCCATTTTTCTTGAGGAACAGGAGAAAGTGTTCTCTGAACTTTTCCAGGCTATTGCTGATCACATGAAACATCCACACTGGAGCTCAGACTTCCAAGCAGTAACCCGGATGTCGAACATCATGGCCGACAAATCAGACATGAACAACCACCTTGCAGAATTTGTAAACAGTATGGTCAAAACGACGTCACACCTTCGCAACATGACCGATGACGTCATTCACAAATTCGTCATTGAGACTCTAAATTTCGCTACGTCACTTCGAAACGATTTTGGATTCGCCGTCCAGAAAATAAGATCGAAATGTGTGGATTTTTACGGCGAATTTGCCAAAGATCCGGATCAGCAGACGGAAAACAAGCTCCGAGATTTTACATGCGCAGAAATTTCGACCTTGTTGTCGCTAGCGGGTTTTAGCAAGAATGAATTAAACCTGCAAATGGATCTACACTATTTTCCTAGGGATATTTATGACAAAATTATAGAACACTGGGATTTTTACCACCACACCATGCATCTACAAAGGTCAAAGGATAAGACATTTATGAGTCAAGATTTCATCCATAGAGGTAAGGGTACGTACAAACAAGATAATTGGATAAATAAATACATTTGACCATATTATTACCTGGTGTTAGATAACTCAATCTATTTTATTGCTGATTCTGTGGGTAAAACAGTTTAACCTCTGTCGCTTTCAGGTTAGTCTTGCAAGAAATAACTGAATCGGCAACAAAAATTTATTGGGTTATCTTCAAAAACAGAAGTTGTTATTCAGTATAGTTTTTGCCCTGTACGTCCGTCTGTCTGTTTGCCCGCAAAAACTTTAAAATTGCCCATAACTTTTGATTGGTTGGAGCTATGGCTTTCATATTTAACACATGTATTCCTTTTGACAAGACCTGTCTAGGGGGTATCATCATGTTTGACCTTTTAACCTTGGCGTTTGACCCACTTTTGTAAAATTGTACCCAACTTTAACATTGGCAATAACTTTTGAACAATTAGGCAAAGGCTATCATAATTCACATGTGTAATTCTTATGACAAGACCTTTCTTTGGATACCAACAACTGTGACCTTTTTACCTTGTTCTTGGATTTGACCTGCTTTGAAAAACTTTAACCTTGTCCATAACTTTTGAACGGTAAGTGCTAGTGCTTTCATACTTAAATATGTAATCCATGTGACAAGACCTTCCTTTGGATACCAACAACTTTGACCTTTGAACTTGAGTTTGGAATTTGACCTACTTTTGGAAAACTTTAACCTTGGCCATAACTTTTGAACGATCGGTGCCAGGGCTTTCATACTTCACCTGTGTTATCCTTGTGACAAGACCTTCCTTTCGATACCAATAACTTTGACCATTTGACCTTGGAGTTGACCTACTTTTGGAAAACTTTAACCTTCGCCATAACTTTTAAACGGTTGGTGCTAGGGCTTTCATACTTCACCTGTGTTATCCTTGTGCCAAGACCTTCCTTTGGATAGCAACAACTTTGACCCTTTGACCTTGAGTTTGGAGTTTGACCTACTTTTGGGAAACTTTAACCTTGGACACAACTTTTGAACAGTTGGTGCTAGGGCTTTCATTCTTCAGATGTGTATTCCTTGTGACAAGACCTATCTTTGGATACTAACAATTTTGGCCCATTGACCTAGACCTATTTTTGAAAAACTTTAACCTTGACCATTAACATTTGAACATTTGGTTCTAGGGCTTTCATATTTCAGGTACATGTGTATCACTTGTGACAAGACCCTCCGTTGGGCACCATTTGACCTTGACCTTGATGTTTTACTTACTTTTGAAAAAAATTAACCTTCGTCATAATTTTCAGTGGTTGGTGTTAGGGCTTTCATATTTCACAGGTATATTCCTCGAGACAAGACCTCTCTTTGGGTACGAACATTTTTTGATCTTTTGACCTGGAGTTTGACTTGCATTTGAGAAACTTTAACGTTCGCCACAAGCTGCCATACGGGGGCATCGGTGTTTCACAAACACATCTTGTTTTCTCTTTTTTCAGAGAATGAAAAGTTGAGAAGCCCGAATCCAAGCAGAGCTTCGTCAAGATTTAAATAAATTACAATTAAGATTGAATTATCCATGACCAGGACCCATGCACCTATTAGACATTGGAATTGAATTCGAACTTGTTTCTTTCTTTCTCCCTTTTGTTACATACTTCTTATCTTACTTCAGGAATTCTTGCAGAAGAATAACGCTGAAATATCTAATGCATTTATATTGTAAAAAAAATGTAGTATAATCTTACTGGAATGTTGCATATTTTAAAGAAGGTACGGTTTGGGCTTTATTGTACCCTAAAAATTTAATGTTTTCAAACATTATGAGATTGGCTTAAATATGAGTTGAGTATATGAATGTGATAAATCATGAAAGAATACGACATGAAGGAGAACCATTCTGGAAATATGACGTCATTAATTTGGTACATTTATGTTTTTAACAGAAAAAAAATCAAAATTACTGATATCTGGGGTTATTTTCCTTAAGACAGTATTGTCAACAGCCGTCGCCCACTTCAATTTTCGGATATGTTGTGTAAAATTCTTTGAAAAATCACATTTTTCGAAATCTTTGTGGTCGATATGTGTTCGCTCTATTATCTGAAAAAAAAAAATTCCACTGAAAATTGATGTCTTCTGCAACTTTTTAAGAAAATACGGCAAAATGCACAAGTTTATGACGCCACAGTTAACATTTCGGGGGTCATATGAGAAAAACAATTTGCATGTTCTTACTGCACGGAACTTAAACGATTCAGAAAGCATGAGTTTTAATTTCTTTCATCACTTTCAAATTTTAGAAAAATACAGGGCCAGATTTCCATTGAAACCGTACCTTGTTCTTTATGGTTATAGATTCGAGTCCCAAGAAGAGTCGTTTGACTTGAAACCTAAGCACGTGCATATACAGTGTACATAGATATGACAGTGTTTTTAATTCTTCAGAAGACATTCACATTTATTAAAATATCTTCTTATTTACGTCTTCATCTAGAATGATACTGCTTTTGTTTACGTATACATGTATTAGCACCACGACAAACTTTCTAAAATTAATAAATATGATTTTCTTTAAAAAAAAAATACATGCAGAAACCAAGAGACCCTCAGAAAGCACATATATATCTCTCAGAATTCTCTCTACTAACCTTAGAATTAAATCTATTCAAATTAGAGTAATCTCTCTTATCATATATAATGTTTATTATCACGCAATCAACGCACTTCCAAAAAAAAAATTTCAAATAAATTTGGGACAAATCAATGCACTTTGAATTTCTTTTTTTCAAAGTGCGTTAAGAGTGTACATCAACATTTGTTGTTGTTTTTTTTTTTTTTACCATGGAGACACTTAACGCACTTTGAAAAGAGATATGTATTAAACAAAAAATTCGGAGCTTAGATTTTAGTAATAGACAGGATTATTTTGTTTTATTTCTTTCGAAAAACTGATAAATTGATCTACCCTCATCGAGAACGAAGAAAGATTGATCAATTCATCTGCCCAGCTATCTATCTTTCCTACCCAAATATATGTAACTGGTATGACAATGATGTACTTTCAATAGATTTGAGTTAACGTGAAATAGATGATGAAATTAATATAAGCTTTCCTGAAAAAAAAATAACTAAATTTTCAATGAGCATTTTTTGTACCACTAAGGGTCATATTTGAAAAAAAAACTGGAAAATTCTAAATACAGTAAAATGTATAAGGAAGTCCTTAGTACACTGAATTATAGTTCTTTTAAAATTGAAAGTCCATTCATGTTAATTGCTATAGAATTAAAAAAAAAAAAAAAATATATATATATATATATATATATATATATATATATATATATATATATATATATATATATATATATATATATATATATATATATATATATATATATATTACCTTTTTGCTTAATTGTCGTCAGATATCCATCTGTCACCATACCTGACAATCTCTTTGTAAACATTACACATATCTGACTTACACGATTTAGCTTATTTAGTGAAAAATATGGCAGTTCATAAGGTCATATGCATGTGAACATCATTTATTTTTTTTAAATTGAAAACAATTACCTCATGAAAAACAGACCAATTTAATATGGCAGTGTTGTTGCAGCATAGAGTTCCTCCATTATTTCTAAAAGACCCATTTCCCTTTTTTAGAACATTTACGAGAACCTTTGGGAAAAAAGACAACCCATAAAAATCTTTTAAACGCCTCTATCTCAGATCCCGAAGTGACGTCATCACCAAAAAGTCATCCAACCAGGTTCAAATAATTATACTTTCAAGAATAGTGACCAAGCAGTGCACATTTGTTTTCCAAAAAGATTTTTTTCAAAGTGCGTTAACTTGGTCCCAAATTTATTGCACTTTCAATTGAAGAAAAAAAAAATTTAAGTGCGTAATTTTTCAAAGTGTACGAAAGCCTAGAAGGGTCAAATAAGGAAAATAAAAAAAAAAAAAACAACAACAACAAAACAAAAAAAACAACAACCCAAAAACAAAAAAAATAAAAGTCGTAATAACGACTTTTTATCTCGTAATAACGACTTTTTATCTCGTAATAACGACTTTTTATCTCGTTATTACGACTTTTTTAATTTATTTATTTATTTATTTATTTTTTCGTTTTCCTAATTTGACCTTTTCATATTACAGAAACGTATAACCGCCTCGTGTCGTTGTGTTTTACCTCAAAATGACAAAATAAATCAACACTGATTATCTGCTCATAAAATTACGGAAGCCCATTTAGGACCTATCAAAAAATATCTTTGAATTCGATATAACGAATTGTCGAATTTGTTATAACGAATTTAATTCGTTATAACAGTTTCTTTGAATTCGTTATAATGAATTTAATCTGTTATAACAAATTTATTGAACTCGTTATAACGAATTCAAAAATTTGTTATAACGAATTCTGTCCCAAAAATGGCAACTGGAAAATTGATTAATTCATAGAAGGTAAAGCTGATGGGAAAAAAAGTTCCAAAAGAGAATGTTACAATTGAAACATCCTCATAATGTCAAGGTTTTGTAATTTCGGATACTCCACACAAACCCTTGACGTAGGTCGCTATTTAAAAGTTGGGCTAGAAAGCTACTATTTTATTTGTTTCTGGTCTAGGACTGGAACCAATCAGAAAACAGCTTTTATTTTAGGTAAGTTTTGTAAACAAAATATGACTCCTCTTTCAAATGGAAAGTGTCAATATTGTAGGATTTGTGACTAGTTAGATTAAATGAAACATCGGAGATTAATTTTTGGAAGAACGTCCTCCTAACAATCACAAAAGATATGCTCTGGAGTTGGGCCATTTGAAAACGACGGATTCGAAAAATATATTCTCTTTGGTTATAGTTTATAATTACCCATTACGTCACGTGTAACCACAAACACAACTTTTAAATAGCGACTTATGTCAAGGGTTTTTGTGGAGTTCCGAAGTCACAAAACCTTGACATTGTGAGGATGCAATTGAAACTGAATTTTGGATACAACCTTGAAGACATTGTATTTCAAGAAATGTTTGTTGATTATTTTTGTTTAGTTGAAAAAGAAAGAAAATCAGCAAAATTAAACCAAAACCCCGTTTCCCTGATAAATGTTTTTTTTATATACATTTCTTTGATATTAGAAAAAAGGATACTACTATTATAAAGCTTATGTCGTAAATATTGCAACTGATCACTGCTGACAACTATATCTGATTTAGCATGATAACAAATCTCGAATTTATCAGTTATTTATATCTTAAAATAAATCCCTAAATCAAGATGTCCATGTAGTGGAATAGCTGTAATTTTGTGTTTTTATTGCTAAATAAAACCTAAAAGGAACATGGGGGGTGTTGAGGGCACGGGGGGGGGGGGGGGACTTGCTCCCAATAATTTTGCCGATATATAGAATACTATAGAAAGCTTAGCTACTATATGCTTGTGCCACCTCAATAATAACGTCTAATGACCTTTTTTATTGTCAAGAAATGTTGGGTAGTGCCCCCCAAACTGAAATGTTTTCTTATGCCCCCCAAACTTAAATTGCTTCCTACGGGCCTGATATATGCCATATATTATGACCAATTTTTTTTTTTTTTTTTTTTTTTTTTTTTTTTTTTTTGCTTCCATCGAGGAATATGTTGATAGGAGTGTCGAGGAGATGTCGATACGACTGTCGATGAATCTGTCTATAAGAGTGTTGAGATGTCGATAAGAGTGTCGAGGAGTTGTCGATAAGACTGTCGAGGAGATGTCAATGAAGGTTCTCCTTCTTCGATGTTCCAAGTTTTTCTTTTAATTTGTCCAGAATAATCATTTAAAAAGATGGACTTTGCTTGTGTATGTGTTCCCTCTATAAGAGATGTCCCTGAGACGTAAACCTGGGCGAGGAGATTACATCTATATGCTATTTGACTATCAGATCGCTTTACAACGCTAGTATCTAGATGTATATGCCTTTGTTTATGTGCAAAAATAATAGATTTAATTTCCTTGTACCTCTTGCGTGAGACTTACACATTAAAGCCATCTGTATCTTCATTAAGTGCTGGTTGGTGACAATAGACTTCTGACAATACATTGAGATCGTATTCCGATCCATCAATCAAAGTACTGATAGTACTGTTAGAACTCCCAAACCTCAATAACAGTGTTCGGATTGTAAAACTTGAAAAGGTTGAATTAAATAAAAAAAACAAAAACAAAGAGTGGTTATCTCTTTGAGTATAAACAAAGTTAAAAAGAATATTACGTTCAAGTGCTATTCCCTCCCCCCTCTTTTCTCTCGCTCTTTGGAAAAAAAGAATAACCACCGCTGAGAGATACGGTGTATATTTTATTTTACAGGCTTTCAACAAAAGTAATTTGACGTGTAAGTGAAACGTGTTTCAGATAACAAATATATATATATATTTTTTTCTCAGAAACAAAAGACAAATACTTATTTACTTTTATTCCAATGCGACTAAAGATGATTTACATATCAAAGACGCCTAACTCTAAAACATATTTTCGGTATCTATTGGATAATCAAAGGTATCAATGTTTACGTTAAATAAAAGATTTGTACTAAATATTTGAACATTTATGTGCCGTATCCTCTTTGGATAACTTGTAAACACTGATAGTATTCGAACAATCAGAGCCCAGATAGAGGTTATGTTCTTCGTCTATGCAGAGAGAAATAACATCTCTGGTGTTCACTCCTATTAAACTCAACAGGTGCCCATCACGGTTTATAATGTAAATAGCGGACGTCCAGTTACAAGCTATAATGTGTCCATGAGAGTTGGTGCAAAGTCCGTGCGGAGGTATTCTGAGATGGTAGGTAAATCGATGTTTTCCCGTCTTATCAACTACCACAATTCCCGCGTTATCTGACGTGCAGACGTCACGATTGACATTTTCGGTTATGTACCTTGGTACGCTGTATAGATGTTTCATAGAAGCGCTAAATTCTATCGTCTGCATCAACTCCCCGAGTTTATTGTATCGAACGACTTTTCCATGGTCTAAATCTTCGTCTGTCATTCCAACCAAGATATCGCCATTTTGATGACTGCAGAAAATGGACCACTCCCACCATCCACCGCAGGTGATATCCGATACAAGAGTTTTGGCATTATGTCCGGGCACGTACTTCATTACACAGCCGTGATCGAGGTAAAGAAGATCACCTTTGTTCGTTACAGCGTGTTTTCCGCAAGCGTGAGCTTTTGTTTTCAGCGTATCTAAAATATCTCCGTCATGGTTCACCAGAATCATTGACCCGTCGGAATCACTGACCCAGAACTGATCAGGGAGTACAAAGGTTATATGACAGATTTCATGTAAATCATCGACAGCGATTCTCCTGTCTGCCGTCTTCTTCTCCTCGGGGGCTGTAGAAATAAAGATTAACTTTTAAAATATAATGAAAAGAGTTTTTATATAGGTATACTTTATCAGTCTATAAAATTGATAAGGTGCTATCGACGAAGTGCTCTTCGTTTCTACAAGAATTCTGATGCATGCAGCCGTTATTTGATTTACAACATGACAAACGAATGTACTATATGTATAAGGAAAATTATAATTTGGATTGCGAATTTCCACAAAACCCTTCACAACACGATTTTAGAATTTTAAACTTACATCCCCTGTCGATTTCTGGGGATTTTTTCCTGCCTTCCTTTATCCCTGCCTCTTTCACTTTCACTATGACGTTTCCATACTTCATGTCAACCCCGAGGTTTTCATAGGCCGAGGTAAAGAAGTCTGTGACGTCACTATTCAGAACTTTTAAACTGCTCTCTGCAAGACAACTCTTTAAATCTATGACGGTTGAAAATTCTGCAAGCATCACGAAATTCCCTTTTGGACCAATCTTTAAACGCTTAAGATGGTTCATTTTCCGCAATTTTTGGTAGAGAAGAAAAATTGATTTAAGGACACCGGAACTTATGACGTGTTCTTTATCACCAAGTAACTCTTTTTGAAGCTTCAGTGTTTTGTCGATGAGGTCTTTAAGTTTTGGTTTCTTTCTACTTCCGGCGGAATTACTGTCAAGAATTTCAAGGGCTTCCTCGGTCGAGACGACAGGATCCGGAGAGGATTCAATGTAGAAAACTGTGTCGTGAATTATCTCCCATAATGCACTTTCGACCGTTTTCTCAACCGGAAGAATAAATGCTTCGATTTTTAGAGTTGCAGATTTTGCTTCTGAAAATGAAAGATTATCATTTTTTTAATCAGATTATTAAAAGTCCTTATTTGCATCAAATAATACACTCAAAGACAATAAGCCCTTTCAATAAACGATCTGTTGATATTTTCTGGTTATTATGTGCCATATATTAAGCATTTTCTACAATATTTGAAGCAAAAATAAACTTGAACTAAAAAGAATTAAATTGAAAATAAATGTACAAACCCATTTTCTGCTCTGAGGGTAAATCCGCCATATCCTTCTTGACCTTGTTAATGAAACTGACGGCGCGGGGGTCAAACTTCTGGAAGATCTTGTTAATAATGCTGTATTGACCCACGGACAATAAACCCCTCCTCTCTAGATAACTAAAGTCTGATTTAAGTCCTTTCTCCTCCTGGGCGGCAATGTTACAGTACCTCTTGAGGTGAGTCTTCCATGCGATGAAATTATGGCCATCTTTTTTGCTTCCGTCGAGGAATCTGTCGATGAGAGTATTTAGGAGATGACGATGGAGACTCTCTTTTGTTCGATGACTGTGTGACGACCTGTAAATTTTAAAAATATAATTAGTAGGATTAAGGTGGACAACAGACAGGCACGTAGTATCGTTTTTAAAAGTGGAGGGGGGGGGGGAGAGCAGCCAGAAAAAAATGACAACTTACCTGAAAAAACTTTGAAAAGCAGAAAAAAGAGGAAAATTGACCACACTTGAATATCCAATTGAGGGGAGGGGAGGGGGCGTTAGGTTCCAACAACTTCCTTTCACAACCAAATTATGTTAATAATTACCAAATTGCCATGAATTAACTAATGCTAGAAAAAAGGGGGAAGGGGCAACCTGCATTTTAATGAACATTTTCAATTTTAAAAAATTATGTTCGGTAAAAAGGGGGAGAGGCAGCCCCCAGATACATGTATTAGTACTACTTGACTGAAGGGAAAAAAAGCTTGTTTCCTCAGCTTAGTCTCGTCATTGTGACCTTGAAAAAATGCATTAATTGTAAACAGTTTTATAAATTAGCTATCTTGAATATTATTTCTATACACATTCCTTTCTTGTGGTTTTATTGCATAATAAAATTCGCATATTTCATCTTGATAATGTGTATCTACCAAACTGTAATAAATTAAGTCTACATTTTAAAGGGTCCTTGCATTGAAATTTTTTGACCATGCAAGCTCATTGAGTTGCCTTTTTGTTAATCGTTGTATGCAGTTGTTGTACTGGTTAAACCGCGACACTAAAATCTGCAGACGTAAGGACTCAAAACAGATAATTAAAAGAAAAAGGAAAAAAAATAAAGAATGCATGGAACAACCTAATAAATATGGGGTTTTCCTTACTACGCCTGTAGCTGTTTTTTATGGGACTACTTTTGTTATGTTTCTGATATTCATTTGCGTACATGTATTAGATCTTGTTAGCTGCAATATGACTAAATGTAGAATTTTGCGGAAGGATTTGGACACAAAATGGCGTCTCGTAACAGTGATCTAAATCCTTTTCTTTAATCTTTTTTTTTTTGGGGGGGGGGGGGGTAAAAAACACAAGATAATGGAAAAATAGATTAAAATAAATATTATTTTATTAAAGTCGTGACAATTTTTATTACGTTCATTCTTCCAAAAACAAGCAAGCTTACGTTTTTTGGTGTATAGATAGTGGAGCATTTCCACCGTATACGAAACAGAGCAAAAAGTATGGCCTTTAATCACCCAAAAACTATTAATGATGTATATTATAAAGTGAATTTTGTTTACAGTTGTTTTAACAATTCTGTTAGCAGACTTGATGATTAAAGATAATGCCGTTTTCATTTATTTGTAGGGACATAGGTAATGTACAGTTTGTAAATTGAGCGGTGCAAGACAGAATACTTATCTACATCAATAAAACACACACTTGTCATGAGTTTGCAAAAAATAAAGATATATTTAAATTGTAAAAGTAAAGAAGTGATCTACAAAATATAAGTAAAATTACTTACATATTACAGCAGATGTATACCAGCACTTTGAAAACATCTAAACGGATTGATAGAATGATAGGATACACACCCTTCAAATTAATTAAGATAAACAAAAGGTGATAAACAAACATGTTGTAAAAATTATCAGAACATCTTTCTGCTAAGTATTTGGCAAACAAATAAAAGAATATTTAATTCCTATCTTTTGTTGCAACCATGCGTAGTTCCCTGCTCGTCTCTTTAATTCCGCCATTTTGTTTTCAAGGTCAAGGCTGTCATCGTAAGATATTATAAGTAGAAAAATATTGTGTTTAACTTTATTCATGTTTTTTTGGTCACAGAATTGTTATATCAAGAATCTTATTTATATGATTTAATGGTAAACAGCTATTGTTTCTTCCTGCCAAATATTCCAAAGCCTAATTAATTTGATAAATTATTCATAGGAGAGAGAGAGAGAGAGAGAGAGAGAGAGAGAGAGAGGGGTGAACTACATTCTAGAAGACCGGTCACGGTAGCCTAGTGGTAGGGCGTTCGTTTCGTGATCGGGATGCCCCGGGTTCGATTCTCGTTCGCCGTGCCGCGTCAAACCTAAGACGTAGATATACTATAGGTATGACTATTTCTTCGCCAAGCACCAGGCACTAGAAGTGAAAGTCACGGGTCTTTCTGATGAGACCTTATAACCCAGGCCCCGTGTCACGGCAGGCGTTGGCACTATAAAAAACCCTCACTGCTCAATGGCCCTGAGTGCCGAGTAAAGGTCTAAATTTGAAGTCCTTCACCGGTACATGGTGACGTCTCTATTTGAGTGACAAATTCTCGAATGGGGAGAAAAAACAACCTACAATCAATTAATCAACATTCCACACGATTTAGATTGTTATACGTATTGGTTTCTGTGATTCGGGATTTGTTAGGAAAAAGTACTAAGTACTGAGTACATGTATACAGAAACCGTACAAGAAATAAAAAAAGAATGTTATTGATCTCCAACGTTTAATTACTCATCTACAGGAAAACAAAATGCAAAGAGTGCAATAAATGTAGCAGTCATTATGTTTAATTATATTGATTAGCTGACGAACCTAATAAAATGATAGAAAAGCAGATATACAACATGGCGTCTGATTTATATCATGTTGTAAATTTTGAATTTACTAGGGGAAGGTAAATGCAAAATTTACAAATTTTGCATTTACCCTCTCTCTCTCTCTCTCTCTCTCTCTCTCCCTTAGTAAATTCAAAATTTACAACATGATATTTAGATTATGTAGAATTGCAATGAAATATCAAAATAGGAAAATTCGAAGAATTAAGCTTAAATTATCTCTGAAATTCCACCAAAATGAGGTCTCAATATATTCAGACCAACTAAGGTTTTTTGAGAATAATAGACCCAGATGACGATGAACTGGAACACACTCCAGCCTGTCACCTTAAAAAAAATAACTTTGGCATAACAGAAATGTTTTTCTTACTGAACAATACAACCTTTGTTTTGGATGGATTAAATTTAAGTAGCCACTTATTTGACCATAGTTCCAAAATATGTAAATCATGGTTTAATTTGTATTCCATATCTAGTACATTGTATGATGATTGTTGAAGTGAATTGTCATCAGCAAACAATCTACACATTGAACAGCATATTTTCAGCAACATTATTTACATATATGAGAAATAATAGTGGCACTAATACAGACCCCTGGGGTACACCTGCAAAAATATCTAATTTTGATGATGACAGATCCTTATACATTACTTTTTGTGACCTTTGACATAGATAACTAGAAAACCACTGGAGAAGGTCACCAGATATACCATAAGTTTGTGATTTAAAAAGTAAACCTTTGTGCCATACTCTGTCAAAAGCCTTTGAAAGATAAAAAAACCATACATGATTTACCTTCATTATTGTTTTGAACAATACTATGATACGTTTCAAGTAGTATACAGTTGAATGACCAGGTAGGAATCCTGCTTGATATCGATAAAATACTAGTAAATCATTACTATGAAAATAATTATACACGTGTTTGAATATTATTCTCTCCATAATTTTACTGACACAAGATAATACAGGAAACCACAGAGGGATCATCCTTTTTAAAAAGAGGAATAACATGAGCTAATTTTCAAAAAGATGGAAAAACTTCTGATGACAAAGACTTATTAAATTACATGGTAAATGGTTTAACAACAGTAAAGAGTCGCTTTTAGCATTTTATGACTAAGACAGTCTGGACCAATAGCTTTGTTCACAGGAAGTATTGAAATAATGTCTAAAACTTCTTGTTCATCAATGATAATATTGCATGTTGTTTCATCATGTTTGGCAGTGTTTCATTTGAATCGTCAATAGAGGAAATAGAAGAAAAATACGAATTCAGAACTTCAGTTTTATCAAATTCAGAATAAGCCACTCGTCTTAAACCGCTATCATTAAGTATTTGTATTGGTGGTATTTCGTTAGATAATTTCAAATTAAATGTATCTTTCATCAGCTTCCAATATAACTTATTATTATTTTTACTTGAATTTTCCAAGTATGTTTCGATATTGTCATAATAGTTTGACATCGCATGCTTTTTCATATTGTTAACTGAATTTCGGACCTTTCTACATGTACATGTATATGCGGACCAATCGGAATATTTTTTAGTTTTAAGTGCTTTGTTACGAAGACGGTTTCTGATTCTAATTGTTTGTTCAGGAATGCATTCACGAACACAAGAAAGAAATTCCGATGTAAAAATTTCAGTTGCAGTATCTATAGTTTCAGCCTTTTTGATGATTTTAGTCCAATCACAGTTTTTGATTAGTGAATTTAGTTTTTTAAAGTCTGCATTTTTGTAGGCCCACACTTTACGCTTGTACGAACGATTATAATTTATACTCGAAGAAAGACAGATATAAGTTGCCTTATGGTCACTAATAGAAGCGTCTATTGTTAGAGTGCTCGATTCACAAACTTGAATGTCAACAGACGTGAGAATTGGGTCAAGAAGCGTGTTCGACGTGTTTGAAGTTCTAGTCGGTCCATGGATATTGTTAACAAGATTATGTGTTGAAATAATTTCACGAATTGTATGTGTTTGTGGAGCATTAAGAAGGTCTATATTCATGTCACCTACCTGTATTATTTTATCAGAGATTTCGCCTACTTTGTCAATACACCATGTGAGTTTTGTCCAGAAGTTACTATCGGAGTTTGGAGGACGATATATGCAACATAAAAGTATTCACAGGTATGGTTATCTATTTCAATCCAAATACATTCGACGCCAATATGTATACATAAGGAAACACCAAACATGAATATGTTTTATATGTACCTCTACTCGATAAATAAAATAGACCGAATGCAGCGCGGTATTGCTCGATTGAATTACCCGTTGTCAACTTTGTGATACATAAAATTTGTAAGTAAGTGGCTGCAATCGATTGCTGCTAGAGTTTTGACTACTACAGATATTATTGGATGCACAATTTTAGTTGCATGACTTAGATTTTGACTATGAATCATGAAATTATAAATAATACATAAAAAATATGGGAAAATATATAACAGGGACATAACAAAAATAGGTTTAACCATGACATTATATACATGGGAGCTTTGTTATAAACAAAACACAATATATTGGAGTAAATAAGTAAAGTAAAAAACAGATTTATGGTTATTGAAATAAACACATTAAAAGTGTTAAGAGTTGTGTCTAGGGCTGGGGAAAGATTACAGTAAAAACTGTAATTTTGATATTTTATGAGCAAAGCACATAATGCAATGTATATACAGAAAGTAGCTAGCAACATAAATAGGATTTGTTAGTGGTGTTGAGAATCGTCTAAATTAGACACTTAAATTATATATGTATATATAATGTCTTGATTAAATCAGTAGGCAGTTTGAGTTTTATTTGGTAATCTTTGGAACACATATTTACCTTGCTGGCTGAGGAGCGTGACCAAATGGACATAGGTCACTCTCTTGTAGGATGGTATGAGTTTTTTGTTTGTTGTCCCGTATGCGGATCTTACCGTTAGATGACCATGCTTGTTGTATTAAATGTTTGCGGCAAAGATGACGACACATGTACATTAATTTGTCTCTTCGTTTGGTCTGGTCCTCATTTATGGAAACATGTTTTGTTTCTGAATTTTGAATTAGGCTTTCGTAGCCTCTGACCTTCGATGTCAGGGGCACAAAAAGTGATTAGCTCAAAATCTTTACCAGTGTCTTTTGTCGTGTGTTAGTGTCAACAAAGTCTTTAACAAAATGAGGCTTTTTACAGAAAAAAAAATTATTGCTTAAAAAAGAGGTGTTTGGTATACCAAGAATCGACACAAGTTTATACAAGTTACTATCGTCTTTTCCCTTTCTAGTTACATGTAAAAAAAAAATTACCTATAGAAAAAACAAAATGTTGCATTATAAAAAAAGATTCTGTCTAATTTACAAATTTTTTCCTGAGTATGATTGGCAATATTAGCACATTTGAAGTTGCGTGTGGAAAAAATATAGAACTGTACAAAAAAGTATTGTAACACATTGTGTTAGAATCAAGTACCATGCGGGATTCGTATAAGCGTATCTATAGTGGCGAGTTTTGAAGGGGTTACGGGGTTGTAACCCACACTTTAAGTATCTTTAAGTATCTTTACTAGTAGCCTATTGGAAAAAAATCCCTTCTGGCCATGTACATGTACGTCTTTCCTATAAACAAATTAAGCGTTCTTGCTGTCTGATACGAGGTTGAAAAATTTAAAAGGGTTTTTAGGATAAAGTGAAAAGAAATTTTCTTTTCCTTTCACCGGAAACCCTCTTATAATGATTTTATTTACATAATGCATATGTGCATTGTAATGCAGGTTGTTTTAAATTCATTACGATTTAAAATTTTATCTCTATAATGTTACATGGCTTGAGGAAGGCGATATGCGCGACAGATGCAACCTTGTAACATTTTTTTAGCACAATATCTCTTTTTTTATTGAATGGATCAACTGCTTAATTGAATGATTGTAATTTACCCGGAAGCATGGCTAAGGCCTGTCATAAATGAACATTTACTCAAATTACACTGATGGCCCA